TTTCGCAAAAATCATAAATTTTTCATTCTAAACCAAAGTAATTAATATTATTGTTTGAAATTTTGGTAGTATATTCACAACATTTATCTTTTTCAAATGTATTCCTTGTTTTTCATTCTGACCCCCAGGGGCCATGTATGGGGGGACAGGAAAACAGAAATTTTCGCTAATCTTTAGATCTTTCTGAAGTATAGCTTTATTATACTCAAATGAAAGGCAATTAAGAGTAGATTGCAAATATTGTATCTTTTTTCTGATTCGAGCCTCGTAAAATTCAAAATGGCCGTCTAATGTATGATTTCGCAATACTTTTTTGATCCCTTCAAAGTATGGCTATATTATACTCAAATTGGAGGAATTTTGGAGTAGATCACAATTATGGTATTATTTTAAGATTTGTACCTCAGAAAATTCAAAATGGCTGCTTTGCAGGAATTCGCAATTCTAAAATCTAATTCTTTCAATTTTAACCAAAGTAATGAGTATAATTGATTGGAATTCGGTAATTGATATTTTGTTCGTTGGGATTTGCTACTCCGCGGAGTTGCCGTTATCTAGTTGGTTCTGTTTTTTGCGCATGCGTATTAAATGCGTATTAAATCCAGTAATTTGATTTGTTTAAATTATTAAACGCAAATACACTGGAAGTCATGGTGTCGCTACAGTAAAAAAGAGAATGATAATCTTTATAGTCTCCAATCGATGCGGGAATGTTGATCGATCATGTATATAATATTTCTACGGCTGCAAGGAGAAGGCATTCCATCTGTATCTATTAAAATTTGTCTGTTTAACCAATTACTAAGTATGATGGTAAATTAAATTTGATTCGAGCTCTATGATTTTTTGAAGATTTTTTCTTTTTACTGGAGCGACACTTTGGTGAACAAGAAGATAGTCTACTTACCCCCCACGGCCAGAAATTCTCAAACACATGCAGTTTTTCACCATTTTGAGCAAATTGGAATGATTTTTACCCAACATTGTCAAAAAGCTCCCCCTTGGCCGGAGGGGGAGGGGGGGTGCTGGTGAGACTCAAAATACCTACCCAATTAATTTTTAAAAAACGAGACCCACTTCCGCCGATTTTTTCAAAAACAGTACCCATACATTTTTAGGATTTTTCAAAGAGTAGACCCAGTTCTAGGGCTTTTTCATCAAAATGGGACTCATATCTAGTGTTTTTTCTTCAAAATGGGACCCACATCTAGGGTGTCTACAAAACTAAGACCTAAGACCTACAAAACTAAGACCCCCCACGTAATAAAACTAAGACCCTGTTATAAAACTAAGACCCCCCACGTTATAAAACTAAGACCCTGTTATAAAACTAAGACCCACCACGTTATAAAACTAAGACCCTGTTATAAAATTAAGACCCCCACGTAATAAAACTAAGACCCTGTTATAAAACTAAGACCCCCCACATTATAAAACTAAGACCCTGTTATAAAACTAAGACCCCCAACGTTATAAAACTAAGACCCCCCACGTTATAAAACTAAGACCCTGTTATAAAACTAAGACCCCCCACGTTATAAAACTAAGACCCTGTTATAAAACTAAGACCCCCCACGTTATAAAACTAAGACCCTGTTATAAAACTAAGACCCCCCACGTAATAAAACTAAGACCCTGTTATAAAACTAAGACCCCCCACGTTATAAAACTAAGACCCCCCACGTAATAAAACTAAGACCCTGTTATAAAACTAAGACCCCCCACGTTATAAAACTAAGACCCTGTTATAAAACTAAGACCCCCCACGTTATAAAACTAAGACCCTGTTATAAAACTAAGACCCCCCACGTTATAAAACTAAGACCCTGTTATAAAACTAAGACCCCCCACGTTATAAAACTAAGACCCTGTTATAAAACTAAGACCCCCCACGTAATAAAACTTAGACCCTGTTATAAAACTAAGACCCCCCCACGTAATAAAACTAAGACCCCACGTAATAAAACTAAGACCCCCACATAATAAAACTAAGACCCCCCACGTAATAAAACTAAGACCCTGTTATAAAACTAAGACCCCCACGTAATAAAACTAAGACCCTGTTATAAAACTAAGATCCCCTACGTAATAAAACTAAGACCCTGTTATAAAACTAAGATCCCCTACGTAATAAAACTAAGACCCTGTTATAAAACTAAGACCCCCCACGTTATAAAACTAAGACCCTGTTATAAAACTAAGAATCAATCATCGTGCCTCGCTCTGCTCGCGAGGTAGTCTTGCCTCTGGCACATGTGTTCCCCAGTAACATACAGATTCTACAAAAGATAGTCTTATAGATATAGATATAAAGATAAGCTTAAGGTCTTGGAGAAGTTATTCGAAATTTACACCAAACAGGAAATGAAAAAACCATGTGATTTTAGATTTTTTTGAACTAAGATAGCAGAGTTCTGCTTTGATCTTCAGTCATTTTTACTACTCCCATTTATCATTTACATGACCAGGATCACAATGGTCATGTCAAAATGACCCTTACCATGCTGAAATGGTTTTTCAGCCCTCTGAAAATGTGACTGAAAAAAGTTAAAAGTAAGGGTATCGGTAAGGTCACTGAACATAATATTTTGATTTTTTCAGAAAATGTGCCCAATATATTGCTTCAAATGATAGGAGCTTTGAAAATAAGAAAAATTGTCTGAAACAAAAATTGTGGTCATAAAAAGGAAAATAGACCTCTTTTCAAATCATTTTTTATAACAGGGTCTTAGTTTTATTACGTGGGGGGGTCTTAGTTTTATAACAGGGTCTTAGTTTTATTACGTGGGGGGTCTTAGTTTTATAACAGGGTCTTAGTTTTATTACGTGGGGGGTCTTAGTTTTATTACGTGGGGGGTCTTAGTTTTATAACAGGGTCTTAGTTTTATTACGTGGGGGGTCTTAGTTTTATAACAGGGTCTTAGTTTTATTACGTGGGGGGTCTTAGTTTTATAACAGGGTCTTAGTTTTATTACGTGGGGGGTCTTAGTTTTATAACAGGGTCTTAGTTTTATTACGTTGGGGGTCTTAGTTTTATAACAGGGTCTTAGTTTTATAACGTGGGGGTCTTAGTTTTATAACAGGGTCTTAGTTTTATAATGTGGGGGGTCTTAGTTTTATAACGTGGGGGGTCTTAGTTTTATAATAGGGTCTTAGTTTTATAGCGTGGGGGGTCTTAGTTTTATAACAGGGTCTTAGTTTTATTACGTGGGGGGTCTTAGTTTTATAACAGGGTCTTAGTTTTATTACGTGGGGGGTCTTAGTTTTGTAGGTCTTAGGTATTAGTTTTGTAGACACCCCCCACATCTAGGGATTTTCCGGTGAAAAGGTGACCCACTTTAGCGGCACGTCCCCATACAGTATAGCCAATATGTGGTAAATCCTGGCTGCGGGCCTGCTAGTCACGTCTGAGACATGGACTTGAGTGAATGTTTCCAACGTATTTCCTAATAGGCCTACTTATATACGTGTTTACAATTATATGACTTATATGGAAATCCTTGTATGGAAATATTATATAGTTTCGAAAGAAAATATGACTCTTGCGTGGTCTGAGATCGGCAAAAATAGCTTCTATAATATTTTCTTTTTGGACACCCTGTTAGTCGAAGGTGAAGGTCGAAGGTGCAGGTCTAAGGTCGAAGGGTTTTTATAACATTCCCTATTAAGATGGTGAAATTTAGATATTTTGAGCAAAACAGTTGAAATGAGGATTTAGCACTGTTGAAAAACAAACTGGAGATCACTGCTCACTTAACAATTTGTTATAATGTTTAAAAAATTGATTAATGAATCTTGTTGATTTTGACATAAAGGATTTATGAGATTTCTGGTATGTATGATATGCACATTGCATGAATAGCTTTGCATGTGCAGTCTCTTGTGGATAATAAGAATAATATTTTACTCAGAAAATATTCATATTTTTTTCAAAATGCGTATGGTTGCACCAAACTATCAAATAAACATTTCCCTCAAATCTCCATTTGCATGCTTCAGATACAAGTCACTGTTTTGTTGTTTATTGTATTTATCCAGTCTCTCAAAAGTATAACAGGTGCCTGTAGTTTTCATAATTTTGCAAGTTCATTTTCATCAACTTTGAGGTGACAGTTTTTTTCTTTCACTTTTCCTTATCTGCACATTCTGTTTCTCTTGAAAGATTGATTTGAAACTTTTAGAAATATTTCTTAACATACAGTTTCTTGATAAGGATGAGTGACAAGTCACTATTTTACGACATTCTTCTCATGACTCTATTTAGATTATATATTATCTTTTTACACATCTTTGTTTATAAAAACCAAAATGTATGCATGAGATTTATATTATTGCTCATTATTTTTAATTACCGTGTGATTGATTTACATCATAAAGTTACACAAATGTGAATTTTCAGCAAAAATGGAATGGTTTAAGCCACAATTCTGGAAACTTTTCTGAATTTTTTCATTAGTCACGAAGTAAATATTTAGAGGGGGTTCCTTTTGATTGTTGTTGCATGTTATGTACTTGCACGCACTATTATCATTATGATTACATGTATATCTATTCATTCACTCTTTCCCAAACATACTCTAGAATTAAAGTTCTGTTAAAATATCTAAAACACACTTTGAAAATTGTTTGATATGCTGGTTTTTTTTATGACTGGTTCTTCTCATAAAATGTCCATTTCTAAATGTGTTTTAATGATATTTGGTATTTTATCATTTTGCACTTGTCCTTACATATTGTAATTCTCCTTCAGAAATATTTATGATATATAACTGTAACAAACATCCTTAAGGTAGTGATACAATATATTGATGAGTAGTATATTCATTGGTCATCATATAGTCTTGTGCTAATCTACAATTTCACTCCATTTATGATTTACATTTAAACTGTAACCACAGACCAGATACCCTGAGATAAAATAAAATAATTATGTATCTATGTTGCAGGAATCCCAAGGTTATCGTAGTTCTTCCATGGATGATAGCCCTGATTCTGTTATAGCCCCATCATACACTCATTATGGAGGTTACAATGACCTGAGCACTGCTAGCGATGATGATGTAAGAATGTCAGCACGACCTGCATCTCATAGAGGCCGTCCTGGCTCAAGCCGTGGTCGACAAGCCACTGAGCAAGAAGAAATTCCTGATCGACCTGGAACAAGTCATGGAGGTCGCAATGATGAAATCCCTGAACGACCCGGAACAAGTCATGGAGGTCGCAATGATGAAATTCCTGAACGACCCGGAACAAGTCATGGAGGTCGCAATGATGAAATCCCTGAACAAACAGAGACAAGGCATGGAGATCGTGATGATGAAATCCCTGAACGACCCGGGACAAGTCACGGTAACAATGCAAATGGACATCCAACATCGATTAATGATGATCACAATGATGACTATATTAACAATGATGAGTTGAGCAATGATGTTCAAAGTATTCGCTTTGATGATGATTCAAACTATTATAACGATGATGAAGATGAGGTCATCAATGAGGTGCAAAGTGTGAATATGAGGTCAGATGACCCATATGATGATTATGTTATTACTGATGATCAACAGGCAGCCATGTTGGAATTACAACACCTTCAGGATGAAGAAGATTATCCAAGTAAGGAATAACATTAAAATATTAACAGTTGTGGTAGAATGAAGATACTTTCATTAGGGAGTGGAGAAATAAGTACATTTGTAAATAATATTTATTTTTTTGAAAGGCAAATCAACCTTTTCAAATGTCATTATCTGGGAGAAATGGTTAATTTTATTTTTGTTCATTCACAACTGTCAATATTTTGAACATAATCTCTAAATGTAAATTAAATTGTCTAGGGGTCTGTGTACATAACCAGAAGCAAAAAATGAATATTACAAAATTAATTGTCTTCGTGGTGTCATTGTTTTGTCTTCATGGTGGCAAAATAGGCTTCTTACCTCAAGAAAACAACTGGTAAAAGTACTTAGGTTTAGTTATCCTGAGGCTTTAAATTTAAAGGAGTATGCCCAAATATATATCAGACTTGCCAACCTCCCGTTTTTTTTACGGGAATCTCCCGTAAATTTTTTGTTTTTCTGTAAAAAATACCAAACTCCCGTACCGTTTTCTCCCGTAAAAACTCCCGTAAACTCCTGTACCGTATTTCTACTAAAATCTCCCGTAATTTTTTTAAAAATATGGCCGTAAAATCTCCCGTTTTCTGGTATAACTCCCATAAAATCTCCCGTATTCTTGGTATAACTCCCTTAAAATCTACCGTATTTAAAAGGAATTTGACTTTGTGACCTTGATTATTATCAGGCACGCTTCTTTCTTTTACTCCAAGAAGGCTTGGCTCCCATGGTTCACTATCGATACTTTCATAAATAACTTAAAAGTACTTCATTCCCATGCTTTTCTGCGATCAGTTCGGTATAAGTTTGCACACCAAATGTCCACAAACGGGGGCCAGTTCATATTCTGTCATACTTCTGTCGGGAGAATACATTTTGTTTTTATATGGCGCTGAAAAAAATATTCCCGCAATATAAGGCGCATTATGGGTAGGGACTGCTGTGAAATAATGAACGTAAGTGACATCGATCTTAGATTACAAGTTCTAATTAATTTATTAACTGCGCATGCATCATAATAATTTCAACCAATTAAATCGCTGGATTTAATACCATAAAAACTCATATCAAGAATATCACGCCATTTGCTCATTAACATAAATTCTGACATATGACGTCACAGATTATTGTCAATGGGAAATTACCATAGGAAAACTTTAAAAGTAGATAAAGTGTGTGATAATTTACGAACTCGAATTTACTCGAAATGGTAAATTATGCATGACACTATTATGAGTAAGACAGCGAAAAAATTGAATTCCCAACGTTAAGAAATAAGCTTCCCCCAGAAAAAACGTGTTTTAAAATCACTTTGTATGGGGAGTGGTAGCGTGACGTCATAGTTTTAGCGAAAATATGGTAAAAATGGGCAAATTCAACGTCTTTAACCTGCTGTAAAAAAATTTTTTGTTAATATCAGAATTTACTCGAAATGGTTATTGGAAGATCTAGATTGAACTTACGTAATAAAAAAAGATCAATACCAGGGCTTTAAAAAATAAGCTTCCCCCAGAAAATGAAAATGGGTCATTTATCAAATGGCCAATTATAATTCTATTCATTAACATAGCAGCCGTAAACGTTGAAAATTGCTAATTACGACGCCCGTTTTTATTTTGGCGATTCGCCATTTGAAATGAGCTAACTTTACCATTCTGGTTATAGTCTTGTTTTCAATACTATCAAGTGTCGATCATGTACGTACATTTTCCCAAAGTCTAATTAAATCAATAGATTGTTACAGGATGTCTTAATTTTAATCAAAACACAAGATAACTTTTGGTTTCTATTTTCTTTATTTTTAATTACCAAGATAATATTGATTTAAAGATTTCAATTCAAAATCTCAACACAACTTCACCCCTAAGGCATTGGTGATGCCTGGGTCACATTTGCTCCGATTCATTGGACGGCGCCCGGCCGATTGAGTTTTTTGTTCAAAACTGAATAGAATTTTGAACAATAATACTCATTCGGGGGCCGGCCGATGAATTGGGTCAAATGAAACGTTCCCGAAAGGTAACAGCGGCTTGGTAGCCGTCTCTCTCTGGGAGAATCACTTTCTTCTTCATAATTTACGTGCTTTCTAGCACGGAGTTTCATAGCCCTATAATTCTAAAATGTTCAAATATGGCGCCCAATCTTGGTACACCAGACGAAAAGCGTATTAAAGTCGAATTCCTGGGGAAATTGACTAATATACCATTGACATGATTGGATAATCGAGATGTGACGTCATGTAACTATTCACATAAACAATCAAAAAAGCATGTGGTAAAATGACGTGATATTCTTGATATGTCCCGTTTTTTTCAAAATATACCGTAAAAACTCCAGTTTTTTCAGAAATCTACCGTAAAAACTCACGTTTTCTTCAAAATCTACCATAAAAACTCCTGTTTTTTCAGAATCTAGAGTAAAAACTCCTGTTTTTTCAGAAATCTACCGTAAAACTCAAAATGTACCGTAAAAACTCCCGTTTTTTCAGAAATCTACCGTAAAAACTCCCGCAAAAACTACCGGATTTTGAAAAAAACTCCCGTAAAAGTACCGCAATTTTTTTTAAATATCCCGAAAATTTTTCATTTTAGGTTGGCAAGTCTGTATATAGTGTTGGGTTTTTCTAAGTCATGCTAGGTTTCAATTCTTACCTAAAGATGGCAGCATAGCTGTCCATCAAGACTTAACAAAATCAGTGAAGCCAAAAGCCACAACTCTGTTCTTTTCACTCATCATATAGGCAAGACTTAGTCATTTCTCATAACCAGACTAGCTGGACTCTGTTATTTTCACGAACCTGTATCTCAATACTTAAACATTTTACATCCAACCAAAGGCGCTGGACTCTGTCATTTTGCAACAACAGTGGTTCATGACTTAGGCAATTTAATTCATTCATACAGTTGGACTTAAGCATTTTCAGTGACATTTCAGTAAGAACTAAGAATAATTTGGTCATTAAGTTTCATTGGCACTTTGCCAAATTGGTCATTGGCAGGTTGCCAATTGTGGTTTGGCAACATGCCAATAGTAGTACTATATAAGAGGCTTCGAAACCTCACCCTGGAGTTATGATCTGGAGTTATGATCTGGAGTGACGATCCGGAGTTACGATTGGGTCTTTTACAGTCAGTACAGTAGCTCAGTAGTATATAACTTGTACATAGATAGTGTAGTTTGACTCTTTATAATAAAGTATCGTATGTTACTCTGAACTCTGAAGTTTGTCGTATCATATTGGCGTCATCGTTTCGTAGAGACCCAACACTGGTGAGCAGCGATGGGATATGGACTTATACACGCTTATAGCGCTACCAACAATTAAGAGACTTTAAGATGGCGCCAAGAAAATATAAAGATAAACCAGGTAGAGAGGAGACATAATCGTTACCAAAACTTGCAGAACATTTGGAGATTTGCAGAACATTTAACAGATGTATTCTCTCATTAGAGAGTGGTGGCAGCAAACTTTTTATATTATGTTTTGTGACATTTAATCGTGGAATGCAGTATTGAACTTGGGATGTCAGCACGGGGTACCATGATGTCACGTCGGGGTAAAATTCTCAACATGCAGGATCAGCGGTACTCAGCTTCACATTGCTTGAGGGACTTTGTTCATACTGAACTTTTGCGAAGAAAGCAGGGCCATTGTGAAGCCATTTTGGGATGGGTCGCAGTTATACTCATCCTAATTACCTTGATAATGGTTCATTTGTTTATTGATGTACAGGATCCCATACCTGTCATCTTTGACAGATTCAGTCAGGTGTTATATTTGTGTTATTGGAGTATGTCTATGATGCGTCAGGACATACATATGATCAGAGAGACTCTAGAGATTCAGAGATCAGAGATTGATCGAATCTTCAGTTTTATGTGCGGATATCAGAGATTGATCGAGACTTCAGAATTATATTCAGAGATCACAGATTGATCGAAACTTTAGTTATATATTTAGAGATCAGAGATTGATCGAGACTACAGTTCTATATTCAGAGAGACATTTTCATGGGATCCAGGATGCTGCTAAAAATGCCTTTTGACTATTATTTGGTGATCAAGACACAGAGTGAACTACCATATAATACAATATCAATAACTAATTAGGCTGGTCGTTAACCTACAATCAGCACTCACCGCAGTGACAGATCGTGATCGACAAGACAGAGATATTCTTCATTGTAAAGTTGTGAAACCAGGCCAGTCTTCAGTACACATTGTACCAGCTAATTCACTTCCCATCATCAGGAGTTCAGTGCAGTGCAGATATCAAGATGATCAAAGGAGGAATTTCGATTTGTGAATTTGAAAACCTTATATTATCTTGGTTGTGTGTGGTAAATGAATACCTACAGCATTGTCATTGATTCAGTGTGTTGAACATGACAAATGGTCTTCCTTTTAACCTAATAAAGTTGAAAGAAACCACAATATTAAAGATAGACACAACATATAATATTATGTAATCTGTCAGTGGACTGCGAAAGAAGAAGGAAGTGTGTGGGTGAAAGATTGCCCAATATTATTGACTCATGACATGAATTATCTAGTTCTTTATCAGAATGTAATGGAAATATTTACATTGCTGAATGATTTTAAAGAAGTGATCAGGTTCAATAAACATTGCACTTGACAATGAACCCTTTGATTTTCATGCCTTCATTGAAGTGCAACAGACTGTAATATTAAAACATTTAAAATAACTTTATGAACTTTTGAGCCATATAGTGTTTTTGATTATTCAAAAATTAAGAGTGCTTTAAAAGTGGAACTTGCTTTTGAGTCTTTGTAACATTCTGATGGTTTTGATTTGATTTGTTTGAAAGTTTCATGGTAGTAAGTTGAAAGTTTACTCATCAATTTCAGATTAAAAAATGTGGCATATCAGTTCAATTATTTGGTGATGTCATTTTTGTTTATAACAGGTTCGGTCTTCGACACAATTGTCTCATAATTGACCTTTGTTATTTTATCTTGGCTCAACAGTAATGGTTTCATTATTTCGCTGATGAACATTGGCTACTCTTGTTTTTATATTTTTTTTGATTACGGTTTAAAAGGGGTTGTCAATATGCTGATATCATTTTAACAAGGTTAATTTGAAACTTGTTGTGACCAGGAGGTCACAAAGCTAGTGGGGAGTAGTGTTGGGTTTTTCTAAGTCATGCTAGGTTTCAATTCTTACCTAAAGATGGCAGCATAGCTGTCCATCAAGACTTAACAAAATCAGTGAAGCCAAAAGCCACAACTCTGTTCTTTTCACTCATCATATAGGCAAGACTTAGTCATTTCTCATAACCAGACTAGCTGGACTCTGTTATTTTCACGAACCTGTATCTCAATACTTAAACATTTTACATCCAACCAAAGGCGCTGGACTCTGTCATTTTGCAACAACAGTGGTTCATGACTTAGGCAATTTAATTCATTCATACAGTTGGACTTAAGCATTTTCAGTGACATTTCAGTAAGAACTAAGAATAATTTGGTCATTAAGTTTCATTGGCACTTTGCCAAATTGGTCATTGGCAGGTTGCCAATTGTGGTTTGGCAACATGCCAATAGTAGTACTATATAAGAGGCTTCGAAACCTCACCCTGGAGTTATGATCTGGAGTTATGATCTGGAGTGACGATCCGGAGTTACGATTGGGTCTTTTACAGTCAGTACAGTAGCTCAGTAGTATATAACTTGTACATAGATAGTGTAGTTTGACTCTTTATAATAAAGTATCGTATGTTACTCTGAACTCTGAAGTTTGTCGTATCATATTGGCGTCATCGTTTCGTAGAGACCCAACAATATACATGTACTGTTATGCTGAAATACCTCGTGTACACTATTTGTTATTTTTTTCAAGAGATTCCAGGAAGATTCTCTTATAGGCAAGTGCCCTTTCCCCCATGACCACCAGTGTTAAGTGAGACATTCTTTCATATTTTCTAAAATAATCTGAATAAAAATCCTTTGAATTTGTAGTAAATGATGAACCATTGGAGTATGATGTCACAGAAAGGCTAAAACAACTGAACGCTGAGCTTGCTGAGCAGCCAGATCCCGAAGAGGAAGAAAGAGAGAGGACAATCACATTTAAGGAGGGCTTAGTAGCTGGCTTTGCTGCACCTCCAGATTACTCTGGAGATGAAGAAGAAGAAGAAGGTATAGTCATCTTTATTGTCATTGTATAGAACTAAAATTCATTTGACCAATTCTGACTAAAGAAGTCAAAAACTGGTCAAAAACTTGAAGCATCTTATCCAAAGGGTCACTACACAATTATAATGGCTCTTGTAAATCATTGTCAAACTATGAAAATAATTACACTGCTTGATTTTCAGCTCTAGTTCATACATAGTTTTTCTCTAAGATGAAATCATACACAAAACCATGGTGTGATGGGTCAGAATCAAACATTATGGTGTCTATGTACCGCTTGAAAAAAATTTCATGCTTTCACCTCCCTGTAAAATCCTTTTCACACAATGCAAAACATTTCATAATATATCACTTAGAAGGATACACAATGACTTCAAAGAATATATTTTCATTGGGCTTCTTATTCCCTATGATGCTATTTATAGATTATTACTCAACTATGAAATTGATCACCTTATGGGTTTCATTAATCTCGCTAGGCCTACAATCTAAAAATGACCTTGGTTGCATTAGAGAAGTATATTGCAATGCAGTTATATGAAATAGCATGTTCTGATTGGCTGGAATTGGACACACCTTGCCTAGTTGTGTAAATAATTTGCATTGCTATTTCAGATGATGCAATACATAACTCTGACACTGAGGAAGGACAGGGGGATGGCTTCCAACAAAATGGTAGACAAGAAAACCAGGAGGACCCCAATGGAGAAGAACAAACTGAGGAACATTCTGATGCTAATGACCTTGAAGTGCAAAAACTGACTCTGAATGAGAGCAACACTGAACAATCTGGACAACAAAGCAAAAATTCAGAAAAAAGTAGTGATCAAAAAGGAAATAAAGTTCTCATAGAACGTGATGGAAAATTTGAGCTCATTGATGCTGATGATGTCAGAGCGCAAGAACTCGGTCTTTCCCCTGCTGATCCTTACACAGAACCCCAACCGCCAAATAAACCCCGCCCATCAACTGCCAATCAAAGCCAATCGCGACAAAAAAGAACAATGCAGAAAAAACGTTCTCAATCAGCTGGTACATCGCGGCAAAATGAAATGGATGGTTTTGATTATAATTCTCCATATGCAATAAGCCCAAATCAGAAAAAGACGCTGCACCATCAACAAAAATTGTCATCTGAAAGAAATCGTGCTGCGGAAGAACGAAAGCGTGAAGAGGAGCAGGAAAGACGCAAGGAGAATGAAGAAGCATTCGAGGCATGGCTCAAACAAAAGCAGGAAGAAAACAGACAAAAGCGCAGACAAGGAAAATCAGAGGTTCGTTCTAAAAAGGTACTGGTTGCTTTTTCATGAATGCATTGCATAATTAAATTGCATGTTTTCTTTGAAGGACACTAGTAGTTTATTATATTGTATATGATATTGATTTACTGGTTTATAATGACTATTCTAATATGATACTTGACGTCACAATAACTAGAACAATTGATTTACTGGTCTTTATTGGAGTATGTATGACCACTAAAATTCATAAATGCAAATATTTGTTTTTTTTGTCTGTATATCATATTAGAATCGTAACAAAGACCTCGATTTTATGATTTATGTCAAACATATGACCTCAAATTTTTCGGTCATATATCACGCCATTAATCATAAAATCTTGGTCTTTATTCCTTAAGTAAGATTCAGAATTGACCAATAAATGTATTGTCTCTTACAGTGGTCTATTTTTATATCATATAAGAATCATAGCAAAGACCTCAATTCCTAGCTTTTTAACAAAACATGTAAAGTATTTTCTCACATTTTATTCTGGCTATTCCCAAAGACTCCAATCTCAATGCAGTCATGGCACAATGAACAGAATAAAATCTTCAGTCAAATATTTTACTCACAGTAAAATGTTTTTGAAGCCATTAAAAGTGAGTGTTTGATTGAAATGTGAACACCTCCAAATGTTAACATTTTCCCAACAATTTCTGAATGTCAAATGTTCTCTGAACCTTTGTGGGTGAAGGTTACACTTTACATGAAATGTATGAAGGTAAAAATAATTTTCAGGAAAAGAAGGAAAATGAGTCAGAAAATTGTTTCGAGGAGTGGTGCAAAGTGAAAAAAGAACAACGAAGGAAGGAAAGACAACTCGAGCAGGAAAAACAAAGAGAAATTCAAGATGGCTTCTACATAAGAAATCGTGAAGATTGTGAAAAGTCATTTAAAATGTAAGTTATACCTTAAAACGATACCCAACCATAATTTATGAAATCAGAATTACATTTATAAGATCAGCTTTAAAGGGAATGTGAAGTTTCATGTTTTAATTTACACGCTGGCTACTTATAACCATCATCTATCACTTCAGCTCACTCATGGGACATATCGTGTTTGAACTAAAATATAATTCAAGTTCAAAGTACCCATATCTGGATCGCTGCGGATGCCGCCATTGTTATGTATCAATGACGTCATTGATGCCTTAAAACTGATGCCTAGGAAATGTCGCTATATAATCACGTCATACTCGGATCGCAGAAATAGAACACATTTCACTGATATTTTATAACTATTTCTGTCCGCTTTTAAATTGTTGCCGCATGCCATATCATATCATATATTTGAAAAAGTTGTTTCAATATATTCTTCATAGAAATTGAATTGTTGCAATGTCTTTTTTCAAATGTTTGTATTTATTTTCTCCAATGTGATATAGTAAGTTTATAGGCTAAGTAGAAAAATCACTAAACTTATGAGATATCGGCTGCGCGATTCGGAAGTTATCGCATTATATTCCACTTGAAAAATATCCACTAGAATTATTTTATATAATGATAACACTGGGTCAAAAAGGACAAATCTGTTCAAATCCTGTAAATGCTTTCTTGTATATTTAACCGATAAATGAGGTAAATGCATTAAAATATACAAAATGGCATTTACACATAAATGCATTACTGTGCATCAATGGGGATTTATTTAACTAAGATTAATGTGGCTAATGTGTTGGCGTATTTGTGGTGAAAATAAGTAAGTTATATCATCGGCTGAACGCATCCAACAAATAGTTGCATTTACCATATTTATGTAAATACACAACATACCATTTAAAATATCAAAATCTATGCTAATTTTCATTAATGCGCTGATGAGCATTAATTTACGGCACATCATTATTAACCTTAAGGTTCACGTGGGTTTACCTCGGCAAATAGGCATACTGCCGCAATTGCTTTCTTACCTAATCATAAATGGTAGATTTCTTCAAGCTGTAGTATTCTATTCAAATATGAATAGGTGCATATTGGAGAATGAAAGAAATAAAACAAAAAGTAGTAATCCAATGAAACAGTAACTCCCTAAAGTGTTTAGCCATTTAAATGCTGATGAAAAACGCAAACAAAAAAACGAAAAATCGATGTCGTCTAAATGATACGTATGTAAATGTCAATCTCCTAAATATTAAGATTGGCAATAGCTTTACAAGGACATGCCACTGTCATATTTTCAAAGAATAATACGTAATGTTTAATTTTTCTCAGTTGTTAAACGAACAATTTCAATCATCATATCACCGTAGCGACATTCAATATGACAAAATAGCTTTTCAAAATTCAATGGTATTTCACCTTGGATCATGACAAGAGAAGGCTCATAACATTCAGTGATGCGGGGAGACGATGGGGTCGATTGGAGTATGATATTTTAATTCAACGACGATAAGGCAATTGCCGTATTGATAGTACGCCAATAGTTTAATATTTATTTTATTATATATTTATTTTTAAAAACAATTCCTGATTTCGAGCTCGAATTTAATTATATAACATCCGTGGTAAGTACAGTTCTACAGTATTTTCGGAATAATGATTTTCAATTTAATGGCATACAACCTTTTGTTTTTCTATATCGGAAAATAAGTGGAACTTTAAAAGCTTCAGTCACATTTGTTCAATGCGACCACATGTCGATCGTATTTCCCTGAAATCAGTAAATTTCTGCGGCAAACATAGGAAAACTACAGTCGACTTAAGGTCACCTTGCTGTCTACGTACACGACATATTCAGTTTTTACAAGGCGTAGAGTCGGAGTTATAACTTTTTCTTTCCTTTGGTCACCTTGATATCAACAAGCAGCAGCCAAACCGTAGGTCTCACGACGGCCGTACGTCGGGTTCACGGTCGACTTGCGGCTGCGCTTGGTTTTCATAGCTGGTTACAATTGACCTTTCCGAACCATAGAACCCCTTGTGGATGCCTTCAAGAAAAACTATGCACGTCGTAGGGCCGCCCTACGCTGATCGTGCGTCATCATTTATCAGCCGTACGGGAATCGTAGTGTTTCCTCATAATCAAGATACGCCTTACGGCTATCTTAGTAAATGTGACTGCTAAATTATCTGACTGCAGAAATACTTAGGCAACCGTAGAAATCCTACTTACCACAGAAATGATAGACCGTACGGTCCCCGTAAAAATGTGACGTAAGGCTAAGAATCCATGATAGTAATTGAATACGGTTTTAAAATTTAATTTTAAATTTTAATTTCTTTGAATACCTGTGTTAAAGATAAACATAAATGCAATGAATATTAAAGTACGAACACGTATTTTTGTAATGAGACTAACAAATTGAACCATTGCATTCTTGGCAATTCAAGATGGGTTGGTTGAATTAATTTTATTATGTTTTATTCAAATAGTTTGCATTCGCCTGATAGAATTAGCATTCTCTGTTCGCATTTAGCGCTAGACATTTTAAAAGTTAAAAAGTCTCGAATCCCAGATTGTTTCAAGAGTAAATAAAGGATAAATCTAACCCGCATTCCATGTCTAGATAGGTAAAAAGCAATTCCGAAAATGCCGGCGTTAATATTTTATTGAAATCGTTCTTTATTATGGGTGGTATATACGTATTCTTTTATTTCCATTGAAATGATTTCTTTTGCTTTGGAATGGCAACAACTCGGCATTCATTTTTTGATTCAAAAATGGCGCCACAAAACTTTTGGAATGCCAAGGCATCAATCTGGCATCAATGACGTCATAAGAATGTCGTAAAGAACCACTTTACGGTTGAAATGGCAGCTCCGTGGTCCAGTTCATATGCAAAACCCGGGGCTTAATAACAATCATGGGCTTTCAAGAAAGCCCATGTAACAATTAAAAGGATAATGATAGAACAATAGAACTAAGTTGGATTGAAAGATATATCTTTATTCTAACTTATTATCAAGTTTTAGGGACAAAACTTCGCATTCCCTAGTTTAAACTCCTTTTTGGTTCACATCTCGTAGAATCTTTGAATCAAATCTCTATCAAAATACATGTACACAGTATTTTTGTGAATAAAATTTGTTGAAAAAACTATCATCAACAGTAAAGGTGTGTCATTCCTAGTTATTCATATATTTGTATCAAGTTCAAGATGTCATGCAAAACTAAATTGTTATTATTTTTCAGGTGGCTGAGAAAGAAGAATAAAGAGTCAAGAGAAAGCCAAAAGAGAATAAACTCTACATCTAGACTTGCAAAATTATCTGCTCGACGTTCTCGCAAATCTCTGGCCCTCGCTAGAGCGTTACAACAGGCTCAAGCCTTCCAGTACACAGATTACTATGGTTACAGGTGAAATCTAAAACCTGGAATCTAGAACTCAAACTATTTGAGACTAAAAGTCAGATGAAATTAAACAAAGAAATTGGAATTGGCAGTCTGCCTGAGATATCTGTGATATATATTATAGGCATCAAAAGAATTGTACCATGGAATGGAAGAGGACAATACTAAACAAAGACAGGAGCAAGATAATCATAAAAACAAGTAGATATTCGTTATTTAGCCCAGTATGCTTATTCATTGTACTTATGGCAGGTTCCTCTCTTTTAGTTAAACAGGTTTCGTACCCGGGTTTCATATTGTTCTTGCCTTATAATTTACTTCAATTTTTGGCATGCAAAAGCATATGCCCCAGGTTCTTTACCTCGAGTGAAACTAGAAATTGACAAGGGGGAACTTTACTGCAACTTTTTTAACAAATGGGCTTATTTTTCGGAAATCAGGCCATTTTTGTGAAAAGACACATTTTCAATAAAAAATATTTGCTTATTTTGAAATTAGGTCCTTTGGGGTTTGATAGCTGAAATTAATGAATTCTGCTAAAGAAACTTTTTCCATATGGTGTTTATGCCAAAAATAGGACAAAATTGGAGAAGCCACATTATATGTATTCTTGCTCTTGTTTTCAGTCCAAGAATAGTAAATCTGTATAAATGTTTCAGTGTTATATGTTATTTAAATGTGAATTCATGGAAAAAAGCTGTGTATAATTTATTTTGTACATGTATCTTGTCCACTTCAAAATATTCTCCCTGTCCCTGTATTACCGTTCAAACAGTTGCAATTTATATGTGGTCTAAAGTCATATGTGCACGAATGCATTTTAAATCTTTATTTATACGTATTTTCCATACAGTTAGATGTCATTTTAATCATTTACAAGATGCTTATTCAGTTCACATTTTTAGTTTAGAGGTTCATCTAAATATCAGTTCATTTATATGTAAGTAACTATGTTAAAAAGTGTTAAAAACAATTTGTTAAGTAACTAAGTATATGTTTTTTTTGCTTCCTCATTCTTATAAGTTTGATAGGCTAGGCTAAAATATATATATTTAGCATAAGGAATGTATATTTTGTGCTCTCACAGAGTCCATTTCTGTTTAAATTATTTAGGTAATATTTTTAGAGAACCCTTCAGGGGATATATTGTGATCATGTGATCATAAGTTAACATGGCAGAAAACATTGTTTATAGTATTTTGTTTAAAATAAAGTAAAGCCTGTGTATATGGAACATTTTTGCCAAGAAAAAATGTTCAGTATTGGTAGGTGTTCACTACAGAGAGAGTAATTTATACAGAAGTCAGTAGAGTATGTGCGGAGGATGGGTGTCCATTAGAGACAGGTGTTCACAAGAGGTGTTCACTAAGACAGGTTTTACTGTATGTTGTAAAACATGCCACAGCCATTCCTTTTCTGGGTAAACTCTGCCTTCCAACCACTCTACCTCAAATTAGACTTACACATTCCTCATTCATTATATTGCATTTACATTGTAGATAAGGCATCTGGGTTTTCCAACAAGTAGATCATGGTCTTATGCATGGAAAGGAGAACATTGCACAGTTATCTATTTGGATGACAGTTAAATTATTTTTTTATTGTGCTTCCTGAAAAGGAGGAAAATAGTATGAAAATGAGGTGACTTTTAAAGAGGCATTATGTTTAGTTATCATTAAGGTGTGACATGCACGAGGGGTGATCAATTAGTAATGGACACTTTTTTACAAAGACTTATAATTGACCATTAATTATTGATCACCCCTCGTATATTAGACATGCCCTTCATTTGCATAACCTTTCATCAAGTCACCACATTTCAGTAGCTAGTACAATGCCATGTCACATATGTGTGCTAGCTATGTCAGGTTAATATCTATTATTTTACTATTCTATTTTTGTTGTCTTATAGTGTATTGTATAGTTAATCTGTGAAATTAGATAGATGCGGACACAAAAAGCAACCAGAAATTCCATTCTAATTTATTTCTCAAGTTTATGATATGAACTTACCTACATTTGTTAAAACCATTAGGACAAAAACTTTCATAGAATTGCAAAACGGCTGAATCTCATTCAAATTGTTGAATGATTCATCTATTAAAAACCAATGCAATCCTGACATTTTCAATGGAACATGACAGGACCCTATTCTTATTAGAATATGAAATGGACCCCCCCCCCCTTCCGCATCTCTATTTCACAGATTTAACCTGCACTGTAAATTGTATCTGTGTATAAGGTGCTAGTACTGTAATTCAGCCTTCTAAGATGTAAAATAATACAATCAAAATTGTATCATACCTTTTTAATGCTGTAATTAAAAATTGACATAATGTTTGCATTTCAATTCTCCAGGGTACTGAGAAAAATTAATATTTTGGTGGAAAAGATAAATAAAAATTGATCTAGATCAAATAATTAATACAACAGTGGCAAATGGGTCTTTTACTGACAAAATGGCCTTGTTGATGCCTCAGTTACTTTATTATGTATTTATAACATATTTTGAATTAACACAGTAATTCAACACTTGGCTTGATAGATGTAAGCATGTTACATGAAGTTCTTTATTGTAAATAAAAGTCATTATTTTAAAAAGTATACAAATTTGTAATGTACATGGATATTTAATATCAAAATTATATACATGTAGTATGTAGTACACATGCCTGGTACACAGGCCAGGCCCGTAGCCAGGATTTGCCAAGGGGGTTCACGTTTTGAAAATTCCAGGAGGTTCGCTTGTGACAATTTTGGTCCAAATATGGCCAAAATCACTTAAAAAGTGCTAAGAATGGTAAAAAACTGCATGATTTTGAAAGATTTTTTTGGCCAAGGAGGGGGGGGGGGGCTATGGGCCTGCAGGCAAATTACATCAGGTCCCGTACGAGGTTTTATGAGCCACATTCCCTCAATGGGCTCTGTACAACCTTTTGTGCTTGAATAATAGTTCAATTACGAGCCTCGTACATGCTCGTTCAAACGTGTACGGGGCCCGATATAATTTGCCTGTGTATATACTAATCATAAAATTCTAAGGCATAAAACTTGTAGCAAGGCTGGTACTTGTTGGAACTTCAACTTTTGTTGGGTTAAGGTTTAAATTATCAGAAGCTTTATTTAATTGAAAGAAGCTATTGAATTGATAGTTGCCTTCGTGCCTTGTATAATCATACTGGGGGTCAGTTGAATTTTGGCTTTGCTCTTAAAGTATCATTTGCATTTTTTTATTCAGGCAATGTGATTATACACAGCACTAGAGATATCAAGGCAAAGTTGAAGCAACTGAACCAAGATGCAAGATTCATGGTTATTAACAGGAAAATTAACCAGACATACAATTGCAACATTGATATAATAATGCCTGATCATTCATGCCATGTGACCTGATTTTGTATAAATTAGTCTGTTCTGTCCGGTTACATCGACCATGTAATCATACAATCCCAAACTTGACAGTGATATATTTTACATATCCTAATATTTACAGTGTCATCTGAAGTCAAGAAATGTTAATGTTTGGGGTGTATTGAGAGTACCTCCCATATATCCAAATCCCCCATTGGGGTGTATTGAGAGTACCTCCCATATATCCAATTCCTCTATTGGGGTGTATTGAGAGTACCTCCCATATAATCCAATTCCCCGATTGGGGTGTACTGAGAGTACCTCCTATATATCCAATTCCCCCATTGGGGTGTATTGAGAGTACCTCCCACATATCCAAATCCCCCATTGGGGTGTATTGAGAGTACCTTCCATATATCCAAATCCTCCATTGGCGCATATTGAGAGTACCTCCCATTTATCCAAATCCCCCATTGGGGTGTATTGACTGAGATACCTTCCATATATCCAAATCCCCCATTGGGGTGTATTGAGAGTACCTCCCATATATCCAAATCCCCCATTGGGGTGTATTGACTGAGATACCTTCCATATATCCAAATCCCCCATTGGGGTGTATTGAGAGTACCTTCCATATATCCAAATCCTCCATTGGCGCATATTGAGAGTACCTCCCATATATCCAAATCCCCCATTCCATGTCATGTTTAGAGAATGCTCACTAATAGTTTGCCTTTATGTTTACAATCAAACCAATGTACACAACATTAAAACGAGCAACATTACAAACATATTTAGTCCTTTGGGTTTTATACCAATATTTGTTGGACGTTCAGTTGTAGTTGTATATATAATGGGACATTCGGGTATATCTGCCAGCAGGAATATCATTCCTCCAGAAATTTTAGCTCCATTTGTTTCTGTTACAGGTTGCACATATTGATTTGCATCACCTTCTACTTCATAGACAAGTCCAAAACCAGAAATCACGTCAGGATCGTGACGGCAACCGAAATATAATGCAGTTGAATTCAAGATGGCTACCCCAGTGACATATTTATCTTCACTTGGATCATAGATGTATTTGCAAACATTTTTAATCTGACCCGGTTGAATTATTTTCCGGGGATTTTCGAGTTGATTATTGATGAGGCTTCCACAATGGATGTTAACAGAAGTGGACCAGCATATTTGGCCATCTTTGTAATCAACTCCAAGAGCATGAATTCCGTCAATTGTTGTAGGGTCTTTATCAATGAATTCAGAATGGAGAATTTTTGCAGGGCCTCCATCTATTACAAAATGCAAATCAATCGACATTTTGTTATCTGTGTAGTTTTTGTTCAACAAAAGTGTCAAAAAGGCCAATTGGTTCCCTTGTTTGAAAATTTTCATTGCGCCTCCAACAGTTTTGAGGGACCAATCATCATCACTTTCAAGGTTTACACTTTCCGATTCCCCAAGTGTCTTGATCAATCGAGAACAGGTAACAAGGTTGAGCTTGGGTGGAGGATATGGACTTCCAGGGTACAAATTTTCCAACCAGGTATCTTCGCAACCTTCAAATACACGTAGTTCAAGTTTGGTAACTTGTAATTGATCACTCGGTTTACCATACGAACCAAAGAGAACAAAATATATTTTTGAATCGTACATCGTTACGCTAGTTATACCAACAGGTGACAACAGGCGGGGATTATCATCATATGATCCACTTAATGTTTTTGAACCAATGCGTCTCGTTATAAAAACCGGCTTCAGATCAGCATCATAGTACAACCGATGTAATTTTCCCTTACACAATTCGGCCTTAATCACCGTCAGCGTGTCCAGCTGTTTGATTTGGATTATCATCTGTTTCGAAATTGGATCTATTGATGGTATGTCATCGTTCAAGCCAAGCTGATTGAAAACCGAAGATCCATTAAATTTGATATTTACATCACTATAGGCAATGTCTGATAGGTTATCAGATTTGTAAGGGCTTAGTTCTGTGTCTATGTAACCACCATAGAAACCACTATCTCCTCCTTTATCACCTCTTTTATCACCTCCTGTAGTTCGAAACAAATAGGTGGCATCACCATATAAAAACCAAGTCATTGTGATTATGATGTATATCTGTTTAGTTACCATGGTGACCTCTGTCTAGCAATCTCAATAGTCTGAAAATAGAAAAAGTAAAGTATTTAAATTGTAACATTGTATTAAAATTGAAAAGACAGGTTAAGATAGTTTGTCACTCTCTGAAAAAATGAAAAAATTAATTTGGGGAAATGCCATTTCAACATGCCATATTAATTTCAAATAAAACTTGTAGTCTGAACCATGGGCTTTTATTATTTGAAATATGTTTTTCTTTAAGTATGATGTGAAAATCTCCACACAATTGTTTTTACATTTTTACCTTTTTCATGTAATTAAGGAGGCACAGTTGGTCAAACCACAAATAATCCAAAATACAAACTAAAATGGATTTGTATCTCATATTTTTAGATTTTATTGAGTTTCAAAAAAGATTTTGAGAGTATAGAAACAGATATACAAGATACAGAAAAGTATTCTATCTATATACAGAAAGGAGCATAATTTCCTGTTAATAACCATGAATTTTGCATCTTGGTTCAGTTGCTTTAACTTCGCCTTGATATCTCTAATGCTGTGTATAATCCCATTGCCCGAATAAACAAAATGCAAATGATACTCTAAGAGCAAAGCCTAAATTCAACAGACCCCAGTATGATTATACAAGCCACAAAGGCATCAATTCAATAGCATCTTTCAATTAATTAAAGCTTCTGTTAATATAAAGCTTAACCCAACAAAACTTGTAGTTTGAACCATGGGCTTTCATTTGAAATATGTATTCTGTATAATGTGAAAATCTCCACACAATTGTTTTTACATTACCTTTTTCATTTAATTAAGGAGGCACAGTTGGTCAACCCACAAATAATTCAAAATACCAACCAAAATGGATTTGTATCTCAATATACTTAGAGGTTTTATTGACTCTCAAAAAAGATTTTGACTGTATACAAACAGATCGAAGATACAGAAAAGTATTCTATCTACATGTATATACAGAAAGGTTTTCTCTTTAACAAACCTTTTCACACTACAAAAATGACCACCTACACAAAGGCAACATGAATCAATTCCTATAATCTACTAATATAAGTAAAGTGAATGAATTATCTTAAGTCTGATTCATAATTCCATCGAGTACTTTGAATCTAAAAAACAAGCAATCAAAGGACCATATTGAAATAGTATATGTGAAAATAGAAACATTTGAACAAGGCCTAACTTTTGAATATTTTGGTTTGTTTTGTAGCTATCATATATGTGTGGCCTCGCCTCTTATATTTTGATGCTTCTCTGCCATGTTATTTTTGAATGGCTGAAACTCCCTTATACAAACTGACAAAAGGCCATGGTTTTGCTGCACAATATTTAACTATCTGAAATATAGGCAAATATACAAAAGAAATCATGCCTACAAATTGGGAATAAGAGAGAATGCTCTGCTGTCCATATTTAAACATATATGCATCTACATAGAAATATGAAAAAAACACTTACAGAACACTTACAGCACAACTTGATCAGTAAAGAACAGCTAGTTGTTGGAATTCTTCCTCACTCTAAAAATCAATGTTCTAATATTGCTTGCTCCTACTACTTAGTGCTTATAGAGCTCCTATAACCATCTACATTCTACATCAAACTCAATATGACTATGACCTTATATACCCTTCTCAAGCTGCACGTTTACATTGTGCATAAAAGTCTCTTATATTCAGTGTTAAAAACATTCTCTGATGTGTAGTTAGTTTTATGTGAACTGAATTGAATACTTACAAAGCTTCTTTTGAAATTACAGTCATTGACCCAAAGCAATGGAAGAAAAAAAAGAATAAATGAAAAAGAGTAATGGACTGTAGGTCAAATGTATCATTGATTTTCAATGCAAGGCCATGCTCATACTCATCAAATGCTCACAAAACTAGCCTGAATAGCCACTGGGTCGGAACACAACTCTCTTACTATTACTACAGCTTTGATCTTAATTACCCCAAATGAAGCAATAAAATTTGATACCTCTTCTTCTAATTGGTAATTATTATGTCACCACCAAAAGTGGCAAGCAATTAAGCATCTGGCAGTTGGTGTTGGTAACAAATGGCAAGTAGTGACATTTTGGATGTAAATGCCTTGTTTTTGTTTATTTTAAACTTGTCTTATGCCTAATTATATTCTACATCGATTTTTCTTCAAAATAATACTCAAGAATGATAAATATATCCAGTATTCATTGCAAGCGGGAAAAGAGAAGCATAGCAATTCTCATTTAGAAGTTTTCACAGAGTAGCATATCCATCCATGAAAGCCCATGATTAATCCAATAGACTAGATGCGAGTAGAAATAATCTTGATTTACGTCATCAAAAATTCAGTCAAACCGATGTCATATTTGGAATCTACATGTAGAATTACATCTAGAAAGGTGGTTTTGAAAAGAGTTTATCAACTTTGAAAATCTAATTTTCTTTGAAAATGTGACTTCTAGGTCGGGGAGATTCCCCATAGAGCCCATGTTGTAAAATCACAAAAAGTGAAATATCTTTCTTGTGTTGGGCAGATAATATTTTCTTTTACTGGACATATTTTAATTTGTATAACTATCAGATACAAAAGGGTAATATGAAAAGTGAACCACTAAAACTGATGAATATTCAAGTTTAAGGGAATTTTGTGATACCCCGCCATGTTATTTCCCCCGACTCAGCCACCTGGTGGCGAAACTGGTAACTACCTACTCGCATCTGAGTAATTGGAAATATTTGATAATAGAGGAGTTTCTGTGTAGCTTTGAAATCTAAATGCTAATTCTCGATTTTTCGTGACAATTTTGAGATTAATATATTAAACCTCCAATGCCATACTTTTCCTTCTTTTTAATAGTACATTTGAATTCAATGAAGTTTTCGGCAATAATAACATTGATTGATACAGTTATCTTATTTATATCATTTTCCATGACTTTTTCAACTTTTCTAAAAATAGTGTGGGCCAAATCTCAATCGATGCAATGTTAAAATTCTTTAATTCATCCAATAACCAAAATGATTATTCACAATACATGTATTTACATTAACAGTCATCGTACATGTCAGAGTACAGTCATGTAGTATGACATTATGGACGTAGCCAGCTCTCAGTGGTTGTGATCAATGAAAAAACTTATAAACCAATTTATTTATTTAAGATTTGTTTTGAATTTTACAAAAATTGATATAACTTTCTTCAAAATTGAGCGAGAAAACTTCAAAAAGAAAGCATTTAAAGCTCTTTTCTTCTTCTATCTAATGGTTTTATTTTTATTAATTATGGGGGGGGGGGGTACTGACATCTATATATTCAGCTATATAGCAACTCCCTTACTGAGAAAGTTTTTAACATTGAAGCCTATAGCAATGTAGCCCATCCAAAACAAAAAAATGAGTACTGACATATTTTTTAAGCTTATTCAGCTATTCTATATTGTGACTCAAAAATCAATTTATCATCAGTTACGTTTTGAGGGGAGGTAGTGGGTCAACCTATGATGAAATTACTTCATATTCTGTCATCAATTGAGCCTGGCCATAGGAAAACCAGTCTTATCACACAAATTGAAATTGTGCTTCAGAGTCAAAAATGTGCCCAAGATTAAGAGGAAAATGTGCTAAATTCAAGTCTGACTTATTGGTTTATATATGCAAGGAAAAATTGCAAAGACACAGCCATGGCTCATTTGAAAGGTCTCTTTGTGCTTTTGAAGATAAACAAAAAATAAGAATATTGAAAAAATCCGTGATAAGACCCCTTTTCCTGTGGCCTGGCTCAATTGTTAAATTGAAATTTTCTCCAACATAAGCCTTACTTCAAACATCTGAAAGACAGAAGGCGAAAATCATATTCAATCTTCTATCAAATAAAAACAGGATGTAGGATATAATAGTACCCACAAGTGATTTTGGTCACATTGACATGGATTTTAACAATGCAGGACACCTGAAATTATTTAAAAGCTAGGAAATGGGTCAAAATTGAATTTCACGAGACAAAAATGGCGGCCATCATGAAAATAGGCAAGCTTTTGAACCAGGAGTCATAGTGGAGTTTTCTGTATTCATGTTAAACAAAAATAACTTAAAACGGGAGTCCCATCGACAGAGATTTTAAACATGCCACTATTGTAAACGGGCAGACGCACGGACGGACAGACAGACGGACAAGTGAGTGATTGCAAAAGCTCACCATGTGAGCTTATAATAATAACTAGATTAGCCATAGACTTTCATATCAAGAAACATCCATAAAATTTTCAAAGCAGATGACAAGAATATCAGGGTTTCATAGAGAAGTCAAAAATTCATGTACAGTACGTAATTTCACAAAGAAATTCTGAATAGCCTTTTGAGTTTTTACACAAAATACAAAGTAGTAAATTTATATATAGTACACTTTATTGCATCATCATACAGCACAGTGTATTAATATTATAAGTACATAAAAATAAACTCCTACATCACTACACATTAAATAGTTTACAATCCAAATAATCTAGATTAGAGCGTAAAATTCTCTTGATCAATGAAAATATTTTCAAGATTCAATTCTTATTTCAAAACTCCATCCTAATAAATGACATTCAGATTCTGGTCAAGGTAATTTTCACTGGTTAAGACCTCTATACTAAGTATGAGACATGTTGCACATCACAAATGTACACCTCCAAAGAGTTTCATAATTCATGTTTTACTTGCTTTATGTCTCTGCCTTATGTAACATGTACATTAGCTTTCAATGTGCTGGTGTCGCAGTATTTTATAATTTGCAATTTACTTAATATCCTTTTGACTTTGGAATACCTTAGAACTTTTCCTTTTAAAATAATAGGTATTCCAAGATTGTTTTCCTTAGAAAGACTGTTCCTATTTAAAAACTGTTTCCCGTAAAAAGGCCGTTGTCATTAAAGACTGTTCCCCTTGTAAGGGCTGTTGTTATTAGAAAACTGTTTCCATTTAAAGGGTTGTTCCTTATTTTAATGTTATTCCTTAGAAAGTGTTCATTAGACCGTAATTCCTAATGAAAAGTGTCCATAAGACTGTAATTCCCCTGCAGAAATGTTCCTAAGATTGTTCTAATTCTGAAGCAGGTGTGTCTGGCTCCTCATCATTATAAATATTCTCAGCCTGGAATAATAAAGGTGGAAATGTATTTTTGTAAATGCTGGAAGTATAATTATCTTCACACTTTATGCTTTATTTTGAGCTGAAATTAACATAACAATTCTTTTCTCAATTTGCTTATACTGTAGATACACTTATTTTGACGCTACTTAATTTGACAGATTTGCTCAATTTCAAATTCAGATGTTTACTAGGATATTCTCTGTATTTCTTTTGGAATAAGGTAGAATTGATGACATGTTGACAGGAAAAGGGGCCCTTGGAGTTTAATTTCTGAAGTACATAGGACAAAAATTCCAAACTGAAATTTGACAGATTTTTAATTTGGCAGATTTTCTGAATCCGCCGATCCGTCAAATTAAAACGGGAGCCAAATTAAGTGTATCTACAGTATATGCTTGCAAGGTGACATCATCATTCCTGCTTTTAACATTCAAAAGGTGGCAAGTCAATTTCCATTTCCTATCAATTACACATGGGAGAATATTGACAGTATGATGCTGTTTATTTAATGTAAATGTGTCAATATCCTCTGATTGTTTCATTAAAAGAACTGTTAGTAAGGTAGGTAACACTTAAGTTTTATTAAGCTTGATTTATTAGGTTTCACACACAGAAGAGTTTATCTGTTTTTCAACTTTAACCCATATGATACGAATCTTACTTTTGGATTCGATATGGGTCAACCCGAAGCCTTCAACCTTGGGGATTGAGAACTTCAGGTAGTTCTCTCACCCCTAGTACTTTATCTTTTTGATTTTTACATCCTCATAACGGAGACTTACCATTTGCCAGACTTGCATTATGTTGTCCTCTGATACAGAACAGATCACCCAGGGCTCATTTGGGTTCCAAGAGAAGTCTGAGATCTTGGCTGTGTGGCCTCCATGGATGAACTAAAACAGAGACAGATTTACAATTGGATAAACAGCAAAATCACAGTGTAGCAAACAGACTGAACACAAGGACACAAACGTGTACAACATGTCCCCACCATATATTGTAAATTTTCCATCCTCTGTGCCCAACATTAAGATTTATAATAATTAGATCAACAGCAACACCACAGATAGGCAAATCCCATTGAATTAAACTAAGATTGAGATATTGTTTGACACAGCTATCTTTTGCAATGATTAAAACCCACCAATAATTCAGGGGGTCCATCATCGGCATCCTCCGCGGACTGTTCCTCCCCAATCTTGCTGAGATCCCACACGTGGAGTCTTCTGTCAGTACCACTAGAAGCCAGAATAGTCTCATTATGGGGTGACCATTGCACTTGGAAGATCTCATCTTTGTGCGACTCAAATGAATGAAGTTTTAGTTTGAGATTCCTCAAATCCCATAAGGCTACAGTCTGGAAATTAATGCATTCATGTGTTTTAGTTAATATTTGGTAAATAAACTGACACAGCACCACTGGTCCTTGTTCAGTAGGAATGAACTAAAATTCAATTAATGGGGTAACTTATTTGATAATGAAAGAAATCATGACATCATTATGACGTTTATGTATTAAATTCAAGGCCAAGCTAAGAAAATGCCCAATTAGGATATTGGCTCATTAGTATTTCTGCTGTATATTTTAATTTCTTGATATCCCATTGACTTCTGTGTTATCAATCAATGCATCTTTCTATGAAACAATGCTCACTATAATTTTACTGTACTGTATTTAGAATCAAGAACAGTGCATACCTTATCTGCTGATCCAGTGGCCAGGATGAATTCACTGTAAGGATTGAAAGACAGACAGTTCACTTCGGCCGTGTGAGCCTCCACTGTGTGACTGGGCTTACTAGTGTTGTTAGATCTTGTGTCCCAACTAAAATAGAGTTTAACAATTGGTTTTGTAATAGAATAGAATACAATAGGATGGCACATTCACTGTACAGACTGACTGAATTATATTCTGCAATGCAATGTATTGTCCTCCTCTCATGTGCCAACAAATTCTATTCAATACATCAAAAAATAGATTTTGCTCGAAAATAATGGCCTCCTCTTTTCTTGTGATTTCTTGAAAAATTCCAAAAATGAAAGATTTCATCAGACTTTTTATTCTTATATAAAGAAATAGGAAATTCTTACATTAGAAGTTTTTGTCCATCCTCTACAGATCCAAACAAGCTCTCGTGTAGGTTGTGCCATGCTACATCCTTAACAGAAAAGAAACAGTGTAACAGTATTATTATGATTTTGATCACAAATAAAGGTAAATAAAAAAAAGATATTTGTTGCTAACAGTATTATCATGCAAAATGTCACCACCTACCATTTGTTACAGACCCCAAACTCCAAACACTGTCCCCAGAAAAGTTGGTGGTGACATTAAAATTACATTAATCATGAAAAACAGTAAGTTTCGAGTTCTTGGCAATTTCTTTTGATGCAAAATGAGGAAGGACTATGTTAATAAATGTTACTATATCAGCTTCCTTAATCAATACATGTACTAGAAGAACATTGTCTAAACATGACAATGTGGTGTGCCTACCTCTACAACTGAGGTGTGACCTGTGAATGTTGTCATAGCATCAATGACCCGCCCCTCACGAGGAGTTGTATTTATATCCCATAAGCATATCGTCTACAAAACGAAAAATTCAACATTATTAAATGTGAGAAATTTACCAATACATACCAATAATATAACCAACATTACAAAGCCCTTGCTACTATCAGCAGGGCCAAAATTAATGGAATATAATATAATAATACCACCAATACAGTATTTAGTCTTCTTTAAACAAATCCCAGCTAACATGGAAGTAATTCTCTAATAAAATCCACTACATTAATAAAAAAAAATTGATTTAATTAGAAAATATTGTTTTTCCATAATTTTGTTCTCATATTAAAGAAAATTCAATATCAAATGTTTTTTCTATGGAATCTATTCTTGGGAGTTATATTCAAAAAGTAAATGTATACAATCTAAGTCATTTTATTTATGCTACATATTGACAGTCCTCTCTCTTCACTATTACTCCTATGACTTACATGGTCATCTGATGCACTAAGTAGGTTTCCATTGAGATTGGGGTTCCATGATAAACCATAGCCTTCCTTCTGATGTCCCTTTAGTCTGAGCTCCGGGGCGCATTCTCCATTTGGGTCTGCAATATAACATGATAACAATTATTTTTTGAACACCATCACATTCCCATCAATTTGAAGGTGCGAGCAAATATGGATCAAACATGCCTACTATTTTTCGTAAATCTACCCATTTTATGAATGTTTTTAACTGTGAATTAGATATTTTCTGCCTGAAATTGTGGAACTTTTGCCGCCTTTAACTTATATTAGTGAAAAGCTGAAAGCATTTAAAGTTAAATGACTTGCAAATATCAAAATTCCTTGACTTTTGATAAGCAGGGTGGGTGTTTATCAAAGGGGTGGGCCCTTAGAAAATACAGTATTTTTTAGTAGCACTTGAAGTTAGAGGACTTGCAAATAATCTTTAGTGTCAATTTTTGGAAATGAACAGACCAAAATAATTCAAACAACAATGTACGTGCATTGTACTCACCTGGTTTTGAGGGATGTTTTGTATAATCAAAAACAAGAACGTCACTAGATGGTGTCTTTGTAGCGATAACACAAGGATTCTGTGGCATACAACGAGCTCTGTTCACTTCACCCTCGTGATTTATTTTTATTTCAATTTCAATTTTTCCACTCACAGAACCAAATCCACCAAATTCTACAAAAAAAGATTCGTCTGAATGGCTGGTACAGTTCTGTAGTAAAAATAGGCAAGAAGGCAACAGTTTTTTTTCTGAACAAGGTACTAAATCCTCATTTTATTTAGCCTAAGGTTCACAGTTTACAGGCCCCAATCCGCACTCTGAAATCATGGTACATTAAGAGTATGGTACTGTACAGTATTCACAGTACCGTATGGTACTATTTTAGTTACTTTAGTACCACATTTATGGTATTGTACAGTATCATTACCGAAATGGTACTGCAGAGTCCTGTTTGGGATTTGCTGTGTACACTTTAATAGTACCCCCTAATTCAATCCTAATTTACCTTTTTTTAATCAAAAAACACTTTTTGGGGAGATCACTTCTGAGAGCAAAACTATTTTTCAAATGTCAAATGTAAATCTTATGATGTATATCCAAAACAAAACAATTAAAAACCAAATAAATATCTTAAGATCATTTCCTATTTCACTTCAATCACTGAAGAATCTCTGAATAAACAAGTGAAAAGAAATGCTTACCTCCCCTCTCACTGTCATACTGTGACGCATCAAACTGTGCATTGTCATTTGGTAGTTGTACACTGGCTATCAACAGATGGTTCTGCTCGTCAGATCTGGAATATTTACCCATGCACCTTGATTTTGGAAAATGTGGGTGCTCGATGAATTAAAAATAATGCTTGAATCTTTCCAATTCAGTTTCGACTTGGATCATCAAGGAACAGAGATGAGGCAATGTGCACTTGGATTTAAAGAGAGATAAAATCATATGCATGCATCACTGATTTACTTAAATGACTTGCTCAGAATATTATTTTATGGCAGGCTAAATGTTTGTCTTGGCTTTTTAAAGATGACTTACGTGTGTGTTCCTAGGATAAGTCTGTGTAGAGAATAATCTTTTCCTTCTGGCCTGAAAAACATAATATTGTATTAAAAATTAATATAGTAATCAAAATTAGTCAGACAGAAGGTTATTTCGTAAGATGGGTAATTTTTGTGGTAGTCTCTAAGCTCTGAGGTTTTCCTCCTCTTTTCTTCAGCATAAGTCATATGAAAGACATTAACATATCAAATTTGAGCCAAAATCCATCCACCGCTATTTTGGAAATCAAAAGTTATATTTTTAATAATAAACAAGTGAGTGATTGCAAAAGCTCACCATGTGAGCTAAAAAGGACATTTTGAACGGAGTGGTCATATCAAAGAACACTTTACATGCAGAGACACACATAAGGCATCAGCTTATAAATTTTGAACCAATCCTTGAACCAATTTTTGAGTTATTGCCCTGACAGAGGAACAGATGGATGGACAGACAATTTTTGGTGGGATAGTTGAAACGAAGTGCTTTCTTACCTTGTGACATCTGGCAACCATTGTGCTGTGAGACTGGGCCATTCAAGGGCATGTGTCATAACCAAATCATATAGAAATGGTGTGTTCTTTTTCCAAATTTTGTATTCTTCATTGATCACTCTTTCTTCAACAGCATCGTCATAACCTATAGATACAGGAAAGAAAGATAAATGAGACTTAAAGCCAACCTTCGGGAATATCTCCTTGACATCAAGGGACTTATTTTCCTTGTATTACAGTTACATTTTAAATGTTTGGAACTACTTTGAATTTAAAAAATAAGCAATCAAATGACTACAGGGTGTCCCGAAAGTATGGGGGCCCCCCTAGGCAGACATATACCAATGTCTCCATAGTATGTGTCATATATCATTTTAAAGCTTATCCAAAGTTACATTGATTTGCCAAGTATCATGGTTCAACTCACAACTGGTAAAAAGTTACAGGCATTTCAAAACTTAGTGTTTGGTCAAAAATATAGTTCATTTCAGTATATTGGCAACAGCCCTGACCTGAATGTGACCGAAAATATGGGTGCTATTTAACGAAGATAGGATGGATATTGAGTTCTAAAAAGAGGACATTGAGGGTAGATACTCCAAGGAAATTCTTCTAAAATGCCTTAAAAATGTTTTATGAGGATTACAAAATGCCACATCCCTATTTGAAGCATGTTTAAGGTCATATATGGAAAGCATTGCTGCTGTTTAACATGGCCTAGGGAGACACACAAACTATTACTCTGGTGTAAAACTGACTTTAATTTTGGCCAAACACTAAATTTTGAAATGCCTGTAATTTTTTCCCATTTGTGAATTGAACCATGATACTTGGCAAATCAATGTAACTTTGGATGAGCTTTAAAATGATATATGACACATACTATGGAGACATTGGTATATGTCTGCCTAGGGGGGCCCCCATACTTTCAGGACACCCTGTATATTGCAACAGTATATGAAAAGATGGAAACATATGCACAAGTCCTATAAACTTTTGTATATTTCAGATAGTTATGTATAATGTGCAGCAAAACTGTGGCCTTTTGTAATTTAGGGAGTTTCAGCCATGTTGATTTTTTCGAAAATAATATGGCAGAAAAGCATCAAAATATAAGTGGCCACAGATACGATACGATAGCTAAACTACAAAACAAACTAAAATATACAAAAGCTAGGTCATGTATAAATGTTTCTATTTTTACATATTCTGTTTCTGGTCCTTTAACTGCTTATTTTTTAGATTCAAAGTAGTTCCAAACTTTTAAAATTTTACTGTAGTTTAATTATGTGTGTCTTTTATCTTTCTAGAAATCAGTCCTAATTTTGTATAGTCCAACGGCTCCTGTTTGACAGGACTCAGTGGCTAATGTCTACATTAATGGTGCAACTTGCACTGCAAGAGTATGGTTAAGTTGTATTTCATTGCAATTGGGATTTTATTGACAGGTGAAAGAATCACCCATTGAAGTATTGATTGGTAAAATTTTATTATGACAAGTGAAAAATTAAGTCATCCGTCAAATTTAACGAGTGTTGATCTTTGTTTTATTTGACAACCGTTGTTGTATTGTTGTAATGGTATCTGCTTCTAGATAAGGAGATTATGTCATTGGCTTTCTCTTGAAAGAATGAAAGCGCATGAACCTTGCTTCCTGCAAAAGCTATGTGGATTTTGATATAATAACTTTCCCATGACACACTTGGACAGCTGAATAGCAGTGACCTTTGAAACATGAATAATGAGATCCGCAGCTTACTTTTGGTCTCAAAGTGTGTCTTATATCAGTATCATCAATCCATGCAAGTATCGGAACTCTGAAATACTTTTTTTTCGATCAAGACTTGTAAATTGTTCATCGAGTGAATGTTTTTTCGACCCATTTCCAATATGGCGGTTAGCTAGGAGCGAGATACGCAACGAACGAAATGAATTTTGAGAATGAGTTAGATTCCGACAACCTCCGGAGATTTACGAAAATGTCTGAGCAGAAACGCCTTATTGGAATTTGGCAGAAAAAAATTCACTCAACTAACAATTACAAGTCTTCAAAATCTAACATGGCTCTCGAAGTGAGCAATGTGAACCAGTTTTGAAAAAAATCAGTATTGCTTAAAATGTTGATGTCGCATTGTTTCGGGTAAATGCAAGTTTCAGCATCATTTGCACAGATCCAGAGCCAGATCCTGCCCCTATTGGTGGCTAAGGCTCAAAAGATTAATGGGAAGATGAGACTCGAGCCAAAAATGCTACATCAAAAAAATGACCACCCAAAAATATGACCCTCGTACTGACCTTTATGTTTTCCATCTTTCAGACATTGATTGATCAATATTTACCCTGTAATATCTTCTTTATGTATTGGTTTGAATGGTTGCATGACATCCATTATTGACGCTGTAATTCGACTTTTCCCAGGAAATTTATTTCAAATTTTCACAGAGCGTAAAGATAATGGAGCGCTTCGGTTATATCAGGCAGTGTCCGATGTTGTTCATCTCTCAAATTACGTCACATCGCAACAAACAGCCAATGAAAGTAAAGAATTGCATAGCCTAACAAACCGTTGTTATTGTTTCTACGGGAGTTTAAGGAAACGTCATTGGACTTCTCGGTAATCTCTGATGTGACATCATCCGGAGTGGCGTCACATTCTCAGAAAAGGCACTTGACTTCGGGAATAATCATTTGAACAACGGAGATAGCCGAAGCGCTCCATTAAACATATGCTCGCTAATTTTATGCTTTTATCAACAGACGCCTCCTTGGATGTGTGGCTTTAGTGATTGGAGTTGAAGCTAACAACAGTACGCATCGTTTGAGGTATGACATGTGATATTTATTGAAAAACTGACTCCAAAATCAAGGAAAAATAAATTTTTCGAAGATCGCGTGTCTTGTCCTTATATTTATTGAGCCTAGACACAGAGGAGGTAATCTGGCAGAGGTCCGTGATCCTTGGATAGAAATATTTGGTTATTTGAAAGTGTCGGAATGACTCCTCGTGAATAAACGGGAGTGAATACAAAATTGCTATTACAAACGCATCCATAATGAAAGTCGCAACGAATCTCATATCGTCTCACAATAGGCTAAACCCAGGTAAATACATCATTTCATGATGCCAAAACCGGAACCGGCGATCAAAACATGACATTTCTTTTGTTTTTTGAAATTGGTCAAACCTCCATAAAAACTTTACCAATGCGCCTCATTTTGCCTCAGAGGATAAAAATAATATATGATAATGTAAAGATAACACTTACCACCTTCTTTATCAGCCATGGTGGCAATGATTGTAGATAATGTTGCGACTTTTTTAAATTTTCGGACAAAAGCGACATGCGCAGTGAAAACCCGCCAAATAAATGTGACAAGATAGAGACTGACTAATATTACAATGAACAGATTTACATAGATATTTATTTTGCCCAAATACCAGTTAAGAAAATATTATCAATTCATCGAACCAATATTGATTGAAACTCATTAATATGATTGGGAGATATAAACTTTAAATTGTACAAAGTGGACAAGATAGGAGTTTGAGAAGTATAACGCCTGTCATGACATTTCTGTAGCAGTCGATTATTTTTCACTTTCATCATGAATCCGGTCAAATGTTCTTTATTTTGCTCTCCTGGTCAAGTAACACTAGAATTTTGTAGTATCATCTTTTAAACGAAGATGTTAAATAAATAATGTCGCCCGGGTGAAAAGAAATGAGCACATTTAACAGTGGTGGTATCTAGGTCAAGTTCAAGGTCGGCATCCGGGTATTTTGACTGAAAATGGTGGATTTGGAAAAAAGTTTTGCAGGTTGAAAAAAGGATGTTATACTCGAAGATAGTAACGTAGATGATTAATCAAATTGGCTAGACACATTCTGTACATATTAGTTTGTGTGATGACAAATTATGAACATGGAGTCACTAAAATTGAGTGAGTACGAGTTAAAATCATACGGAGAAATATTTGGAAGTTGCGACGTTGAAAGCACAGGGAAAATCAATGGAGTGAAAGCTACTGAATTATTCTTGGCAAGTGGACTTCCCCAAGAGGCTTTACAAGTTGTAAGTAAAATAATCAAAAATAGTTTACAGTAATATTCCTATAATTGTTTTTAACCTTGATCTTTTCCTAAATTTTCATAGCTCTCTAGGTCTGTAATTATGTTGAAGGGGGTGTGGTTTTCTGTTTATATTTTTCTGTCAGTGTCATGTTTGCAGTGGAACTTGGACCGAGATTTATGTTCATCTCATACATGTCTGTGATTGAATGAAATCCTACTATCATGTAACTCTAAGGTCTCGGTAGTTACAGTGGTGGACAAAAATAAAACTCGACCATCAAAAGTTGTCACAATGAGCTAAATTCCAAGTTTCGTGTCTCAAACTCTCCCAAGCCGTAGAAAAATAATTCCTGTTCACTTAAAGTAGCACAATAAATGAATCCATAGCTTCATACCTGCAAATGATGGATAAATCCCTAGACTATATCCTATTTAGTCTGAATTATATTCAGACTATAAGGCACCTATGTTAAAGTTTGGTAATTCCAAATATTTGTTTACATAGGAAGTGCCATTCAAAATGGCCGATTGGGTAAAATTGATTTGCACATTTGTTACTTCAACTTGCTTTATTTCCACTTGACAATACGCTGTGTTACTTTTTATTGCTTTTAATTGTACCTTACTATTTAATTGAAATTTTGTAATGTTTATTTTATTGAAAAAATGGTACCTCCAATTGATAATTTTGTGCAAAAAATTTCACTGCAATTTCCACAGGAAAGTAGTACATCATAACAGACTGACTTCTAGTCAGTCTGTTGGATACATACTAGATACACCCTTGGTATACGCAGCTAACGAAAATTGACCGGTACGGGTCAAAAGCTGGACCGGTACGGGTTAACGGTTTTATTTGAATTTAAAATAGCCATAACTTGCTCAATATTGACTTCCTCGTGTCTAATTTGAAATATATGATGCCTCCCGATGCTTTTAAGTACCCAAATTTTTTACAGATTTTTAAACGGACCAAAACTCTCTAAATGCGCATTTATGCTCTTTTCTCTCGAGAACGACTGTCTCATTTTCACGATAGCTTTTATTTAGTACTTCTAACATATAAGATCTATTTTCCCCATCAAGGTATGATGTAAATGACATGCTATTTACATCTTGTGAGTTTCAATGACGCGCGTTTGATTTTATAAAAAATGCAAAACTTTGTGACAAAGAATTTCATCCTGCTTGCAGCGAGAAGACGGACCGGTTCGGGGCAATCTGCTTGCAGCGAGAAGATGGACCGGTTCGGGGCAATAGCTGATGAAATTCTTTGTCACAAAGTTTGGCATTTTTTATAGAATCAAACGCGCGTCATTGAAACTCACAAGACAATATACGTAAAAATAATATTGTAAGTTCTTTAAAAAGTAATCATTTTATCATTATACAAACTTATTTGTAGCATTTATACAACACCACATTTTACAATAGGTGACTTACAGTCTGAATTTATTCAGACGAAGGATACAGTCCATTAAATGAATATTCAAATAGTTTTCGTGAGATTTCCTGTTCTAATCGTAATATAGACCTCAGAGCAGGTGTAATATCAATCAATACATCCCTAAGGGCTAGACACAAAAGCTTTCGAACTCCACTGGCGGATATGGGGGGGTGCCCAGGGGCCCGGGCCCCCCCCCCCCTTGGGTGGGCCCAGAAAAAAAAAATTGTGCCCAAAAAAGATTTTGAGCCTAAAAAGGCTTTAAGGCCCCAAAAAGTAGGCCTTTTTGGTCATAAATTGGCCTTGTAAGGCCTTATTTGTTAATTTTAGGCCAAATTTTGAAGAAAATGGGCCTCAAAATTTCAAAATTTGGGCCCACTTTTGGGTTTATGGGGCCCAAAATTTTTTTCCGCGCAAGCGCCGAAGTTTTTTTCTCAGACCACAAGTTTGGGCCCCCCCCCTTGTTGGTTCCCAGATCCGCCCCTGAACTCCCTAGTCCCTTCGTGCGAGGTACAGGAAACGTTTGTGCCTAGCCCTGCGGGGTGTATTAGTGCTTGCAACGGTAATGGATATCACTGCCGGTAAATTTCACCTCCATAATTACCTTACCGTTACCGATAATCGTTGATACTGATAATGTTCCTAAAATCCCGGGGAAAAACCTGAAAGTGAAACTAAAATATTTGGGAAAATCCTTAACGAAGCCGATTTCTCAGCTTGATTTCCCGCTCACATCAACTACAGTGGATATATTGTATCATCGTGTATCTCGTGTATGATTGTGTATTGTTAGGAAGTCTTTGAATGATAATATAGAGTGAATTCGATCAAAATTGATCAAACTATTTGTGTTTGTTTTTACTCCACCGAAATATCACGTCACGTGATTTGTTAATCTCGCGGCATGGGAGATGATTGACAGAAGTGGGTGGGGTTTTGCTTATCCTCCCGCCTTTTACGAATGCTTTGCAGTTGATTGACAGATTAGCTCTTCAAATGTGGAGATTGAAATATACATGATTGATAAAATATTCTTAAACGAACATTGTTTCGTAAATTTGACAATGGATCGCAATGCCAATCATCATGTTGCAGCAGCATGGCGATTATCGGCAATGGATTTTATTACCGGCAATTGAGAGTATCTACTGCCGCTGCCGACAACCCGGCATTACCGTAAGGCACTAGGGTGTATTCATCGATGTAACACCTGCTCTTCAGTCTATATTTCTTAACTAATCCACATCAGTTGCTTGAAGGAATGAAGATGAATTTACAGATTGTCTAATTGTTGGAAAATCAGAGCTATTGCAATTTTGTCAGCAGAATTATTTTAATACAGTATTAAAATTTAAGAAAAAACATAATTTTTATTTTCAGATCATTGAATTATGTGGTGCAAAAAGACTTGGTCATTTTGGACGAAGTCAGTTTTATATTGCGTTGAAACTGATTGCTGCAGCTCAAAATGGCCTCCCGGTTGCTATAGAAACTGTAAATATGGGTAAGTTTAAGTTCTTCCATGATATGGAATTATGGATGTCTGTATATGGGAATCTGGGAAATTTATGATCATTTCAATGAATTATAAAAAGTCTACTTCTTTATATGCATATGTTATGTGGTGCTCAGTTTAGCAAAAATATGTTTATATCATATTGTTTCAGATGATGTTATAGACATATTTTCTACATTTGAGTTAGGGAATTTAAAAATGTGTTTAAAGGGGCAACAAGGACTGTAGAGAGAAATTTTGAAAATTTTAATTTTTTCTGAGCTATCAGGTCAATATTTGACTTACAACTTCTATGACATACCTATTTTCTTAAAATGTATGGATTAACTATCAATTTAAGCATTAAGAAGTGTAAATTCAATTCAAAGCTTCTATAAAGGGAGTTCCACTTATAGACTTTTAAGATCCACCATATTTCAAGAGGAATTGCTAATTGCTGTATTGCTAAGGTTAGAGAATTTTTCACATAAGAAGGTAGAGCTGGCATCGAATAGGATTTTAATGTCGACATGTCGGAGCTCTCGATCGACAACAATATCGACATTGTCGGGTCTAATGATATTCGAAAAATGAAAAAATTTTGAAGAAAATCCGTCTGAATTTTAGATTTTCTAGGCTTGTAATTAGCAATACGATGCACAATAGTCATCCTCAGTTGTATATTTTATATTTAACTTACAGGTAAACCATGTTTGAAGGACAACTGAAATAGCTTTTCTCAACTTGCAGCTACAAAAATGCGGTTTTCTCCATTGTAAGCCCAACGTAGAGTTCTTGCGATAGCCATTATAAAATAAATGTTAGATAACTGCTAACAGTCATAAATAACGAAATAAAACTAACTGATCAATCAAATTGGCCCCCACGTGATGAGTAACGTCATATACAAAATATAGCTTTGGTTTGTTGGTTCCTTAGTAATCACGTCACGGCAACCATAGGATTGTAGTGTAAACCAAAACAAAACATTTTGGCATTATGACGTTATGGGCCACGTGGGGACCAGTGAGAGATCACGTGGAGGCCAATAACGTCACAACCAATTCGAATATTGCTTATTAAGCAGCTATAACGATCGTTAGAGTGAAATAGTTTTCGCACTACTGATGAGAAAACATGTCCAAATACATTTATCAAAAAATTATATCGATTCCTGTAGGTTAAAAATACCATTTCATATCTGCTTTAAGTATCAGACTTTGACGAAAAGCAATAAATAGACATAAAACTACGATTTCTGTTGTTATTTCCGGGCAGCCATTGAAAATAAATCTTGAGGGTAAATCTTGAGGGGTACCGAGACCTAATTCGAGAGCAGGAAGTCAATCGAAACAAAAAAGAAAATTTGAAAATGTAGGCGGTAAAACTTCACTAAAATACACCATACAGCAGGTAGTAACAAAGATTTTAATTCATAGAGAAATAGCTTATTATGTTGTGAGTTCCGACTGTCGATCAAAAGGCGTTGTGTCGACATGGGTGTCGCAGAGAGCATTCGACTGACAATCGACCATTCCGACATTTGATGCCAGCTTTTCAAACAAAAATTATTTTATTCCTAAACCTTTTGATATTTATGTCCGACATGGTTAAGTAAACTATTTCTCCCAAAGATAGTTGATAGGTTATCATAAAAATAAAATTTGTTTCCATCCATTAAATATGCCTCTAAAAACAAAGAAGGGTTAATCAAAGTATTATCTTTATGGAAGGTTCAGGTCATCAGTTAATTGCTGATTCAAGGTGATGAGCCATTGTAGTATCAGGTTATATTGTTGTGCTTATCTAGTTCAATGTATGAGCCACTTCACTTGAGATGATATGTGATATCCTGCAACACAATTAATGCCATACTCACTTACCAGTTCGATTTTCAATAGAGGCTCAGATGACTATTCTTTGTAAAGCCACATTCTCAAATGGATGGATTTCTTTAATTCATCTTGCTATTCTAATTTATAATTGTTGAATCTGGGAGAGTTAGAGTTGAGAAAGTATTATTGTTAATCCATGACTTCTCAAAATTGATCATGATAAAAAAGAGATTTTGAACAGAAAAAACAGGTTTGACATAACCCTTTTTCACGAACTCAGCCATAAAACGCCATAGAGCTACCTTGAATAAATACACTTTTCCAATCAAATATAAATTATATTTAAACCCAGGATATTGTTAGATCTTCTCCATATTAAAAACTGTTAAATCGTCTGTAATAGTCAGAGTGTTCTGTGACTTGCTTATGAGGGTATTATTTTAGTCTATATGTGTGTCTGCACATCACTCCTTACAATATAAACATTTTACATTAAGATGAAGGGGAAATACTTGAGAAAGTGAAGGAATGCTTTCAAGGCTAAACATCTAATTATTTATGCCTCTTCTCTCATATAAAAAGAGTCTGAAATGTGAATTATAACACTTGAAGCTCCTTGGAGAATTTTGATGTTTTGCTCATTTTCCTATCTGTATATTTTGAACAATGGTGAAGGAAATTATTATTGATTTTGCAGGTTATTTTAACAGTGTTTGAACTGGTTTATAAGGAATTGATGAATGTTCAGCATGTATCTCTCATTCTACTTGACTGCAGGTTCTTTTTGGAAGTGTTGCACAGTAATGTTATACAGTCACTAATCTATACTAGAGGGGGGGGGGATTTTAAACCAAATCTGACCTAAGATGAGGCCCCCCTCCAAGAATGTAATCCTTCATACTGGAATTGGGAGGAGTCTGGACTTTATTGAAATGTACTCAAATGGATACCTTTGACTGAAGATGAATGTTTCATTTTTATTTTCAGGACATGAGATTCCATTGCCAAAGTTTAAAAATAACACAGAATCTGGTAAGTAGGTTTTCAACTTACCCATCACTGGAGACCATGTTCAATGGCATAGAAATAAGTTTGTCTATTGTTGGCCAACTCTAGGATGATCTTCATCCTAGACCAACTTAAAATTTTTAACGTAAAATAGAATTTTTATCATATTGTAAATGTTGAACTCTTACTTTTAGTTTATTTATTGTAAAAGATTTAGTGTGAATGTTAATAGGTTAATATGAGAAGAGAAGGGCAATATCTCCAGGCACGAATTCATTTTCTGTGATGTATTTTATCATCGATCAGCTAATTGCATTCAATGCTTCAGATATCTCTTTCATCATGATGATGAAGCTACTTATTCTCCACATATGAGATTTATACAACCATGTTCTATGTATTTTTCCTCTAGTATGTTCAGTATACTCATGTCCACAAATCTGACCAAACATCCATTTTCATTTTCAAGTGGGTGCAAGTGTTCTTTTAAAGCATCAAAAAGAAGTACAACTCATGCTTCTGTTTCTTTTATTCTGGGGAGCTCACTGCCATCCTGCCTGAATAAGGCAAACAATTATTGCCAATCAGTGAAGTTCTTATTGTTGATTTCTCTGTTTTAAAATGAGAAGTTATGAGATATTTCTATCATTGTGATTATGATGCTACTCTTTATTATGTCACCACCACAAGTAACATATTTTTTTCTAGTTAGTTGTACTTTTATTGTAAAACTATGATACATACATTTTACATCAACTGACACTTTAACAAGTGTATATTGCAATAGTCTCCAACTTTTTTTGTGGATGGTGTATGGCATTCAGTGGTTGACGTTTGGTGAGTGGTGTTCAGCAGTTGGTGTTTGTTTGGTATTCGGCATTTGGTATATGTAACAAATGGCAGGTGGTGGCATTTTGCATGTTAATGCCTTGTACTTGTTTTATCACAAGTTATGAGATATATATCTAGTTGCTCCTGCAGTTTTGGGAATTATGGTTTGCTGAATCTCTATTTACATCTACAACATGCATTTTGAAATGGAAATGTGTGATGGAACATGTTATAAACATGTGGTGAAACATGAGGCAAGTGAGCTCCTTGTGTTTATTCATTTATGAGTAAATGCCTGAAGTGAATATGCTATGTAAGAGTCAGAATTAGATTCTCTAAGGGGTATTACACATAGATCCTTTGATCATCATTTTTCATTAGGCAATTAATGGTCGTGGTGATCTTGTTAATATTCCTTTGAAATTAATGTGATAGTAAACTTTCCCTTGATGGCTATTTAAGATGGTTTACTCACTGCATAAAATATAACTAAATGTAGTTATATTTCTTCCTCAAATTGAATGAAATATATTTGTATTTTCTCTTTTTCCTGAGCTTGTCAGTCAGTATTCTAGCTTCTGAGTTATTGCGAGGACTTATTAGGTTACAGACCAGCGGTTGACAAAACAGAGCTCTTTAATTCATTCAAAAAAGCAATAAATCCACAAAAGGTAATCCCAAAGGGTTTCTTCTAAATGTTGAAAATTTAGTCTCAAATGGATACATGTTTGTGTCTAAATTCTAAATGTTTTGTTCTTATTTTTAGAGCCCCAAAGACAAACCAGTCAACAGGAAGGTCCAGAAGGACAATTTTCAAAGTAAGGACAATTTTTCCTCGGTATTACTTTCGTGTGTACTTGCAGATTAAAATCTGTCTACGTTCATACTGGCCAAAATTGTTTATGTAATATCCAGATATTATTTGCAGAGAGATTAAGAGAGGGTAGGGGTTGTATTAACATTTAATCAATGGCTCGTTTGAAAACTGTTGACATGTTCAGAAATGTTCCATGCTGAGATGTGTTTTACATGTGGTATTGGGAGATGTTTTACATGTGTTAATGGGAGGTGTTTACATGTGTTATTGGGAGGTGTTTTACATGTGGTTATGGAAGGTGTTTTACATGTGGTACTGGGAGGTGTTTTACATGTGGTACCAGGAGGTGTTTTACATGTGGTGAACATTATGATATTTGGAGGTATTTTATATTTGATGAACCATATCATATGGTTTTGGGAGGTGTTTTATATGTGGTGAATCATATGGTATTGGGAGGTAATTTATATGTGGTGAACCATATGGTATTGAGAGGTGTTTTATGAGTGGTGAACTCTATGGTATTGGGAGGTGTTTATATGTGGTGAACCCTATGGTATTGGGAGGTGTTTTTCATGTGGTGAACCTCATGATATTGGGAGATGTTTTATATGTGATGAATCTCATGATATTGGGATGTGTTTTTATCTGTGGTGACCCCTATGGTGTTGGGAGATGTTTTTCATGTGGTGAACCTCATGCTATTTGGAGATATTTTACATGTGGTGAACCTTATGATATTGGGAGGTGTTTTACATGTGGTGAACCTTATGATATTGGGAGGTGTTTTGTATGTGGTGAACCTTATGGTATTTGGAGGTGTTTTATATTTTCCAAATCATGCAGTTTTCACCATTCTGAGCACTTGTCAAGTGATTTGGGGCCAAAGTTGTCAAATCCCTAGAAATTTTTGAAAAGTGTTAGTGAACCCTCCCCCTTGGCAAACTGTCTATGGGCCTAAGTTGTCATATGAGACAGTCTGCATGTGCTTTTTCTCTAACAGGTTTTGGGCTTATCATCACACAATACTTGGGCTTCATTCTAATTCTGCATATTAACCTTCAAAAGACTAGTCATAGAGCAAAGGTATCAACTATCAACAGAGCTGTGTGAGCTGTGTTATTAGGATTTCCATGAAGCTAAAAGAAAATCGTTAAAAGCAATTATATGAAACTTATAAAATATGATGGCAGGCATAATAAACAAGGGTGTTGGATGATGATATTAGCCTTATATCCTTTTTAAATTAAAAGAGCATCAAAAATAGACAAATTATTAGGTTTTAGTGTATTAGTTGAAACAGAATACAATGTACATGTATATACATGTATGATGACAAAATCAACAATTGTAATGCAGTGTCAAACATTATTTGTTTTCAGTAATTTGGTGTCTGCACCACCATCGGGTGGTTTACCCCCTCCCCCCACCAAACAGCATGTACGAGGTATGTCTGGGCAGAGGCCAGTGGCAGCCAAAACCATGGCCCTCGGTGATACACCTCTTCAACCTACACAAGTAGCTCCACAAGTGCCAGTAACTATAATACAGGTAAGATAGATATGTCAGTCATCTTATGCAAGGTAAATTGAGGATGTGTCAATTTAAATACAATGTGATCACTAGATCAAGTTTCAAAGTGTCAGTTTAATAGAAAAATAACTTGGAAAGGGGTAAAATGCTCACGTTCATTAAGTATTGAGATTAATGCCATGTTCAACATCTGGAAGCTTTAATCACAAAGAGGGGAAAATATTGAGTCTGATCCTTCATTTGATTACTTTTACAGAAGAAATACTATCATTTTGTTTCTGCCGCCCTATCCATATTTGAATTCTATGAACAATTATTCCTAGAATGATGGAAGCCCATAGTAGAAATATTGTAAGGGAGGATATATGTCAATGTTTTGCACATTGTAAATTATAATGTTACGTTTTCTCAATACAATGATTTTCAGCACCAAAGAAAAGTTGAATCCCCTCATCATGGGACTCAATCACCAACCTTACAACAAAGTAGTCCAAGATCTTCTCCCAAGGTGGCAGCACCAACTAGTCATGTGATACAAAATGGCAGCAGTGGGAAACTTCCAGATAAAGGATGGGCATCTTTTGAAGATGATAGCAGAGGTATGGCTTTAGAGATGTACAGTGTATGTGGTTTATCCAAATAAAAAGTAATTTGGATAAACAACTGATTCCCACTTTCCCATTTAGGGAATAAATTTACTGGTTGAGGTCAGACTGAGTTGTCAGTGATCTCGACAGCTAGGTGTTTTTTTGTATTTTCTTGTAATTGTTCACAATGAAGAAATGCTGCTATTTTTCTTAAGGCTCAAGATTATAAATCCCCAGTATACATACAGATTGAACAAATAGTATATACTATACTAATATTCTCGTCTTTCCACTCCCTCCCCTTTTATCGACAAACAGTTATGGCGCACATGATCTTGAAGTTCTCAGATTTGCTACCAAAAGAATGTCAGAAGGAACCAACACTACTCACCAAAATTACTCTTTTGCAAACCCTAGCATAGTGTATACTGTATAGCAAAATTAAAACTATTTCAGGTTTGATATCTAATGATTCCAATGGACATGTGGAGAAGGATCCCATGAACCCTGAAAATGAAGAATGGATGCGTTTCCAGTCATCTTCCGACCAGCAGGATACTTCATCTATCAGTTCTGACACGTCATCACAAGATGACGTCTGGAGTATTACTGATGAACAGCGGGAATATTATACAAATCAGTTTAAAACGATGCAATCTGACTTGAATGGAGTCATTTCTGGTTAGTATCTGATGAATTTAAGGCCTTTCTGTGAATCTACAAATGTACTAAACTTCTGTAAGACCTCAACTTTATCTACATTTTATAATAGAGATAATCCCTTGACTAAGGATCTGTTGAAAGACAACCCTTACATTAAGGGGGTAAGCTGTTGCCTCCATATAGACTTAATAAAACATTGCATAGTACTGACTCCCCATGAGACTATTGACTTTTATTCCACTTCAAGTCTGAATAGCTTCCCTCTAGAATGTGCTACATTCATATATGATTTAATTGCAAAAATATTGACTCCTGTTAATCTCATTTCAGGTGCTGATGCTAAAGACTTTTTTGAAAAATCAAAACTGCCTGTGCAAGAATTATCAAAAATATGGTAAGTTAGTGGAGAGTTTATAAATGTATTACACCTGTCTGAAGGGAACACTATTGCCATCACATGAAATATGTTCAATGCACAAATGGGTTGTTGAGTTGCCCAGCTATTTTGAGTGCTGAATAAGCCAAGCTAGGTGCTGTGTCGTAACAGTGAGGTCGTGAGTTTGAGGCGTGTGAGCCCGAGACGCGTAAGCTCCTGACGTGTTAGAGACCCTATGATTGAATATATTTTGAATTTTTTTCAGGAATCTAGCCGATGTAAACAAAGATGGTGCATTGTCATTGGAGGAATTCTTTGCAGCTATGCACCTGGTTGTGTTACGACGGAATGACATCGAGCTTCCAGACCATCTTCCACCTTCCCTTATTCCTTACATACCATTGACTGGTGAGTTTATTGGCAAACGTGTGCTATGCGCATATGTTTTATTTTATGTTTTTATTGCCTATGGTGCATATTTTGAATAAACAGAATTATATGTAAATAATTGAGTCTTATGATAAAATGTATTTTTTCTTGATGAAAAAACTATGTATGTATATGGAACCAAAAATCCTAAATATCTGATTCTCCTCACATGAACCACCGTAGTTTGTCATCCATTAGAATCATTTTCAATTGGTGCAGTGTCCACTTTGATATCCAAATTTAATTAAATGTGTGTTACAGCTTCAGATGAGCCATTTGCTGCTGACCTACCACCTGGAAGTACCATTAAGCGCACCACTCCCACAACTCCACCTGCAAATATGGTAAGCTATATTGCTATTTTTATTATTACATCATGTGCCTTGTTCATAATTTAATTAAGTACCATTAAGCGCACCACTCCCACAACTCCACCTGCAAATATGGTAAGCTATATTGCTATTTTTATTATTACATCATGTGCCTTGTTCATAATTTAATTAAGTACTATTAAGCGCACCACTCCCACAACTCCACCTGCAAATATGGTAAGCTATATTGCTATTTTTATTATTACATCATGTGCCTTGTTCATAATTTAATTAAGTACCATTAAGTGAACCACTCCCACAACTCCACCTGCAAATATGGTAAGCTATATTGCTATTTTTTCATTATTACATCATGTGCCTTGTTCATAATTTAATTAAGTACTATTAAGCGCACCACTCCCACAACTCCACCTGCAAATATGGTAAGCTATATTGCTATTTTTATTATTACATCATGTGCCTTGTTCATAATTTAATTTAGTACCATTAAGCGCACCACTCCCACAACTCCACCTGCAAATATGGTAAGCTATATTGCTATTTTTATTATTACATCATGTGCCTTGTTCATAATTTAATTAAGTACCATTAAGCGCACCACTCCCACAACTCCACCTGCAAATATGGTAAGCTATATTGCTATTTTTTCATTATTACATCATGTGCCTTGTTCATAATTTAATTAAGTACCATTAAGTGAACCACTCCCACAACTCCACCAGCAAATATGGTAAGCTATATTGCTATTTTTTTCATTATTACATCATGTGCCTTGTTCATAATTTAATTAAGTACCATTAAGCGCACCACTCCCACAACTCCACCTGCAAATATGGTAGGTTATATTGCTATTTTTTTGATTATTACATCATGTGCCTTGTTCATAATTTAATTAAGTACCATTAAGCGCACCACTCCCACAACTCCACCTGCAAATATGGTAAGCTATATTGCTATATTTTTACAATTACATCATGTGCCTTGTTCATAATTTAATTAAGTACCATTAAGCGCACCACTCCCACAACTCCACCTGCAAATATGGTAAGCTATATTGCTATATTTTTATTATTACATCATGTGCCTTGTTCAAAATTTAATTAAGTACCATTAAGCGCACCACTCCCACAACTCCACCAGCAAATATGGTAAGCTATATTGCTATATTTTTATTATTACATCATGTGCCTTGTTCATAATTTAATTTAGTACCATTAAGCGCACCACTCCCACAACTCCACCTGCAAATATGGTAAGCTATATTGCTATTTTTATTATTACATCATGTGCCTTGTTCATAATTTAATTAAGTACTATTAAGCGCACCACTCCCACAACTCCACCTGCAAATATGGTAAGCTATATTGCTATTTTTATTATTACATCATGTGCCTTGTTCATAATTTAATTAAGTACCATTAAGCGCACCACTCCCACAACTCCACCTGCAAATATGGTAAGCTATATTGCTATATTTTTATTATTACATCATGTGCCTTGTTCATAATTTAATTTAGTACCATTAAGCGCACCACTCCCACAACTCCACCTGCAAATATGGTAAGCTATATTGCTATTTTTATTATTACATCATGTGCCTTGTTCATAATTTAATTAAGTACTATTAAGCGCACCACTCCCACAACTCCACCTGCAAATATGGTAAGCTATATTGCTATTTTTATTATTACATCATGTGCCTTGTTCATAATTTAATTTAGTACCATTAAGCGCACCACTCCCACAACTCCACCTGCAAATATGGTAAGCTATATTGCTATTTTCATTATTACATCATGTGCCTTGTTCATAATTTAATTAAGTACCATTAAGCGCACCACTCCCACAACTCCACCTGCAAATATGGTAAGCTATATTGCTATTTTCATTATTACATCATGTGCCTTGTTCATAATTTAATTAAGTACCATTAAGTGAACCACTCCCACAACTCCACCTGCAAATATGGTAAGCTATATTGCTATTTTTATTATTACATCATGTGCCTTGTTCATAATTTAATTAAGTACTATTAAGCGCACCACTCCCACAACTCCACCTGCAAATATGGTAAGCTATATTGCTATTTTTCATTATTACATCATGTGCCTTGTTCATAATTTAATTTAGTACCATTAAGCGCACCACTCCCACAACTCCACCTGCAAATATGGTAAGCTATATTGCTATTTTTATTATTACATCATATGCCTTGTTCATAATTTAATTAAGTACTATTAAGCGCACCACTCCCACAACTCCACCTGCAAATATGGTAAGCTATATTGCTATTTTTTCATTATTACATCATGTGCCTTGTTCATAATTTAATTAAGTACCATTAAGTGAACCACTCCCACAACTCCACCAGCAAATATGGTAAGCTATATTGCTATTTTTTCATTATTACATCATGTGCCTTGTTCATAATTTAATTAAGTACTATTAAGCGCACCACTCCCACAACTCCACCAGCAAATATGGTAAGCTATATTGCTATTTTTTCATTATTACATCATGTGCCTTGTTCATAATTTAATTAAGTACCATAAAGCGCACCACTCCCACAACTCCACCTGCAAATATGGTAAGCTATATTGCTATATTTTTATTATTACATCATGTGCCTTGTTCATAATTTAATTAAGTACCATAAAGCGCACCACTCCCACAACTCCACCTGCAAATATGGTAAGCTATATTGCTATTTTTATTATTACATCATGTGCCTTGTTCATAATTTAATTAAGTACCATAAAGCGCACCACTCCCACAACTCCACCAGCAAATATGGTAAGCTATATTGCTATTTTTATTATTACATCATGTGCCTTGTTCATAATTTAATTAAGTACCATAAAGCGCACCACTCCCACAACTCCACCTGCAAATATGGTAAGCTATATTGCTATTTTTATTATTACATCATGTGCCTTGTTCATAATTTAATTTAGTACCATTAAGCGCACCACTCCCACAACTCCACCTGCAAATATGGTAAGCTATATTGCTATTTTTTCATTATTACATCATGTGCCTTGTTCATAATTTAATTTAGTACCATTAAGCGCACCACTCCCACAACTCCACCTGCAAATATGGTAAGCTATATTGCTATTTTTATTATTACATCATGTGCCTTGTTCATAATTTAATTAAGTACTATTAAGCGCATCACTCCCACAACTCCACCAGCAAATATGGTAAGCTATATTGCTATTTTTTCATTATTACATCATGTGCCTTGTTCATAATTTAATTTAGTACCATTAAGCGCACCACTCCCACAACTCCACCTGCAAATATGGTAAGCTATATTGCTATTTTTATTATTACATCATGTGCCTTGTTCATAATTTAATTAAGTACTATTAAGCGCACCACTCCCACAACTCCACCTGCAAATATGGTAAGCTATATTGCTATTTTTATTATTACATCATGTGCCTTGTTCATAATTTAATTTAGTACCATTAAGCGCACCACTCCCACAACTCCACCTGCAAATATGGTAAGCTATATTGCTATTTTTATTATTACATCATGTGCCTTGTTCATAATTTAATTAAGTACCATAAAGCGCACCACTCCCACAACTCCACCTGCAAATATGGTTAGCTATATTGCTATATTTTTATTATTACATCATGTGCCTTGTTCATAATTTAATTAAGTACCATTAAGCGCACCACTCCCACAACTCCACCTGCAAATATGGTAAGCTATATTGCTATTTTTTCATTATTACATCATGTGCCTTGTTCATAATTTAATTAAGTACCATTAAGCGCACCACTCCCACAACTCCACCAGCAAATATGGTAAGCTATATTGCTATTTTTATTATTACATCATGTGCCTTGTTCATAATTTAATTAAGTACCATAAAGCGCACCACTCCCACAACTCCACCAGCAAATATGGTAAGCTATATTGCTATTTTTATTATTACATCATGTGCCTTGTTCATAATTTAATTAAGTACCATTAAGCGCACCACTCCCACAACTCCACCTGCAAATATGGTAAGCTATATTGCTATTTTTATTATTACATCATGTGCCTTGTTCATAATTTAATTAAGTACCATAAAGCGCACCACTCCCACAACTCCACCAGCAAATATGGTAAGCTATATTGCTATTTTTATTATTACATCATGTGCCTTGTTCATAATTTAATTAAGTACCATTAAGCGCACCACTCCCACAACTCCACCAGCAAATATGGTAAGCTATATTGCTATTTTTTCATTATTACATCATGTGCCTTGTTCATAATTTAATTAAGTACCATAAAGCGCACCACTCCCACAACTCCACCAGCAAATATGGTAGGCTATATTGCTATTTTTATTATTACATCATGTGCCTTGTTCATAATTTAATTAAGTACTATTAAGCGCACCACTCCCACAACTCCACCAGCAAATATGGTAAGCTATATTGCTATATTTTTATTATTACATCATGTGCCTTGTTCATAATTTAATTAAGTACTATTAAGCGCACCACTCCCACAACTCCACCAGCAAATATGGTAAGCTATATTGCTATTTTTATTATTACATCATGTGCCTTGTTCATAATTTAATTAAGTACTATTAAGCGCACCACTCCCACAACTCCACCTGCAAATATGGTAAGCTATATTGCTATTTTTATTATTACATCATATGCCTTGTTCATAATTTAATTAAGTACTATTAAGCGCACCACTCCCACAACTCCACCTGCAAATATGGTAAGCTATATTGCTATATTTTTATTATTACATCATGTGCCTTGTTCATAATTAAATTAAGTACCATAAAGTGAACCACTCCCACAACTCCACCTGCAAATATGGTAAGCTATATTGCTATTTTTCATTATTACATCATGTGCCTTGTTCATAATTTAATTTAGTACCATTAAGCGCACCACTCCCACAACTCCACCTGCAAATATGGTAAGCTATATTGCTATTTTTTCATTATTACATCATGTGCCTTGTTCATAATTTAATTTAGTACCATTAAGCGCACCACTCCCACAACTCCACCTGCAAATATGGTAAGCTATATTGCTATTTTTATTATTACATCATGTGCCTTGTTCATAATTTAATTTAGTACCATTAAGCGCACCACTCCCACAACTCCACCTGCAAATATGGTAAGCTATATTGCTATTTTTATTATTACATCATGTGCCTTGTTCATAATTTAATTTAGTACCATTAAGCGCACCACTCCCACAACTCCACCTGCAAATATGGTAAGCTATATTGCTATATTTTTATTATTACATCATGTGCCTTGTTCATAATTTAATTAAGTACTATTAAGCGCACCACTCCCACAACTCCACCAGCAAATATGGTAAGCTATATTGCTATTTTTATTATTACATCATGTGCCTTGTTCATAATTTAATTAAGTACCATAAAGCGCACCACTCCCACAACTCCACCAGCAAATATGGTAAGCTATATTGCTATTTTCATTATTACATCATGTGCCTTGTTCATAATTTAATTAAGTACCATTAAGTGAACCACTCCCACAACTCCACCAGCAAATATGGTATGAGATATTGCTCCATTGTTACCCTCAAATATTTCTAAGGTTTCTCAAAGATTCTTTAATAATATGGTCATAAAAATTTTGTCAATAATTTCATGAAAGTTTTATTTAAACACAGGCACCTGTAAACACAGTATGCTATGTTTCTTCACCATTACAGCAAAGATTACCAAGATGTTGCAATTCATGAGCTATCTGGGCACTTTTCCACCTGCCAACTATGTGACAAGACAAATCTCAGCCACCCTCCTCTCCTCTGTTTCCTATTGCTTGAAGTTTATGTTAATGTTAATTCCAGTGGGTCCCCACAGTGACATACCCCATTGACAGCCCTGCAAGTAGCAGTGTTAGCTCACCAGGATGTAAGCCAGTCAACTTTGACTTTAGACCCATACAACCAGATCCAGTAAGTAGTGTATATGTAATGTATGATAAAAGGACTTTGTAGATTATTTAGGATAATTCAGTGATATTTCTATTAGATAAATATTCATGATATCATATCTGAAATGTGGTTTTATGTCACCACCACAAGTTTTATGTCACAACCACAAGATTTATGTCACCATCACAAGTGGTGACATTGTTATAGTCTCCCAACTTTTTTTATGGATGGTGTTCTGAAGTTGGTGTTTAGCATTCAGAAGTTGATGTTCAGCGGTTTGCATCTGTAACAAATTGCAGGTGGTTACATTGTGCATGTAAATGTGCCAAGAATATTATATTTGCAATCAAATCATGAAAAAGCTAGTTGAACTGCCCTCCTTATACGATTTGTTCATTTTTTAAAACTATTAACTGTTTTCAATAAAGCTGTCTCTGCATCAGGAAATTGCCCATCCTGTTGCACTGAGGATGTCACCTGATGGGCAAGCCATACCAGCAGATGGCGCCACTAGAGATAGAACAGTATCGGGTAAGACATTTAAATATTTTGACATTCTGTATCCTTGTCTTGCTTCCTTAAAGAAAAGAAAGATGATTTTTATGAGGTTTTATAGTTTATACACCTTTGGTGCAAAGATTTTTATGAGGTTGTATACAACTTGGGTGTTTTATATCCATAGAAAGATGTGTTGTAATTCATTTGATACAGTGAGGTCTATATTTCATGATAAACTAAGCCATTTAGTTGTTTATCCCATGATATACTTACTAACATGTTCCATGTCCTCCAATTATTCTAGAGCCCATATCATATGATGCAGTCCAACAGCAGACCATGATATACTAACATGTTCCATGTCCTCCAATTATTCTAGAGCCCATATCATATGATGCAGTCCAACAGCAGACCATGATATACTAACATGTTACATGTCCTCCAATTATTCTAGAGCCCATATCATATGATGCAGTCCAACAGCAGACCATGATATACTAACATATTACTTGTCTTCCAATTATTCTAGAGCCCATATCATATGATGCAGCCCAACAGCAGGCAGCAACCCAACAACAACCCCCCTCTCAACAACCAGATTTAACCAGTCCAAGGAAACAGCGATCATATACAATACAAAATACCGAATCTCTTATTGAACTAGAAGCAAGTGAGGCAGCGACCTCTGGTGGAGCGTCACTTGGGCTAAATACGCCACTACAAAGCCGGCCTAGACCGACACCTAAAAAAGCTCACTCAGGTAGAACTTTTTAAAGTTTATATTTATTTAAACTGATTCATAGCGATTAGATAGATATAAATGCACCCTGGGTGGTCCAAAATATTTTGAAACATTTTTAATATCTTTTTTTGGCCCACCCTGTAGGCTTATGAGCAAGTCCCATATTTCATCATGTATGTTCAGTCATTTTTGTCTCACGTGGTGAATGGTTAGCTTATTGAATTATTACTTGTCTGTCCAGCTTTCTATATTTCAACAGATTTCATTTGAATAAAACGTGCTATTCTTCTGGGTCAGTTCCAAAATCTCACTGTCACTATAGGAGTTGATTTGAGTATTGACAACAAGTAAGATTTGATTTGATTTCCATTCACCCCAATATTTTGCCACATTCTTGACTTTTGCCAAGTAAAGGAAATATGTTGGCTTAAATCAAGGAGGTGATAACCATGCACAGTTGCTTGAGCAAAACACAGTTGCTTGGATAACGCATCGTTGTTTGAGCAACAGTCACCTGCCCCACTTTCTAGCTTACCTTCATTAGCAAACTTTACCTATAGGCATTAGTTTTTGACTGGTCACCTGACCATCTGCAGGCTCCAAAGTTCAGAATTAAATTTTTTCTTAAAAAAACTTTTACTCTCTCAAGTGACCAATTGTAATTTAAACCCGATGAGGCTCAGATGCTGATGTGCATGGCTATACCTGCTGTCTCTTAGTTTTTATTTCATGAAGAATGCACTCAATTTTTATCCCGAGGGATATTGGGGACACCTCCGTTCGTCCGTACGTACGTACATCAATATGACAAAAACAAGGATTAATCCATAGAGGGTTTTACTTTACATATTCATCTACATGTTCTCTTAAAATATGAAGCTTAACCCCCCTATTGCCAAATTTATCCCCACACTAGAAAGGCCAGGGCAGTCAAATTATAACAAGTAGCCAGCCACCTTTCTTTCATTTCATCTCCATTGCTACACTATAAACTACATGTAGTATAACATTCCAAGTGTTTTTAATGGAAGTCTATTGCTTAATTTGACTACCCTGCTATCATGTAATTTTCAGTTTGCACTTTTATAATATTTATTATTAGATTTTTGTTTTGTTTTTATTTTTTATTTTTTTAATGCCGTATCTGAGAAATATGCCAACTCCTCGTTCACATGGGAACACCCTGACAACTGTAAGGTCAGTTACCATTGTCTTCCATATCATCAATGAACAGGGTCAATGATGCATTGTAAGATGTGACAAAAGATTTGAATGGTGGATATATTACACTGGAACATAGGAGAAAGACAACGGGAACTAGACGCATTACTGTTGTCTTTCTAGATAATGTTACCGTTGTCATTTATACAGTATCCATTGTCCCGTGTGATATTTTCATCAGTAAAATTGAAGGCTTTAATTTGAAGGTAGAACGCCATACAATGAGTAGAAAGACACTTTGATTGATTGTCGTACCAAAGGAATTTAATCTAGGTGCTCTATTAAACATGCAGTTAATGAAAATCGAAACGAATACAAACTTATTGCTGCCATTTGTGACAACGGTGTCGACTGACTTTACGTTGTCAGGGTGTTCTGGTGTGCTGTTAGTACTATAGAATAGATTTGAACCTAATTTCCAGTAGAACATGCATTATCATGGGTAGTATCCGAATGTTGGAACACAGTATAATACCAGTATGATGGCCAAATCGGTGGGCTATAAATCTTGGACACTACCCATGCATTTGCCTGACACCATGTTTTTATTATTTCATAGTTGTATAGTTTTTCTTTTTCTTTATTTTTCGCTTGTAGCTGCTAATTCAAACACAGAAGCTATTCTCCTACCTCCCCCTATAGTCAATAAGGGGAGCGACCTGTCACTCGTAGGTTCTCAAGAAAATCTAGGGGGTGAGGGGTCGGACCATAGTGCACCTACCCCACCCCCCAGACCCCATGGTCATTCCAGGAGCTCATCTCTTGATGCTAATGATATTTTACAACAAGGTTGGTATATACCCTGGAGAAATGTCATGGTTAATGAGTTTGGTTTTGAAATGAAAAAAGAATGGAAAATAGATGAATTTATGAGAGATAAAAGTGACACGGCTGCTAAATATCTAAAAATAAAATTCTAAAAGTACCCTGTAACTTTAAACACTATTGATGTACTTTTGTTCTGCAAACCATCTTTCTTTTCTAATCATACCAAAGCTTTAAAAACTCTTGAAGAATTGAAATCTATGAGATGAATTCATAATACCATAACTGTTTCAAGCTTTGGTATTTCCTGATAGGTTTCATATTAAAATCTGTAAATGGTGCAGTTTACACGACATTCTGATTTTTGGACTATTTTATGATCATAGTTAGATTAGTATGCAGTAAGATCTCTTGAAAATTGTAAAGGAATGCGAGTAAATTCATTAGTTCATTTATATTCTCGAGATGATTTTACTAAAAGTCATGCAGAATCTATTTGTAGGTTGTATAGTAATCATATCATGAGGATATGTTCATAGATTTTCTTTTTTGTTTCGATTTCATGATTCAGTTCGAGTTTTCTCTTTTATTATCTATTTTTCATTCTAAAGCATGAATCTTCTCCGCCTTCTACAGGTACCTAATGCATAATTTTTGAATAACTATTGTGTTACCTGATTGGTTCAATGATGGATACGTATTATATTTTACACCAATCAGATTACAGATTTGATCATATGTATATGCTATCGCATAAATATTGCGAAAATCCATTAACTTAAACGTAACATTGTTGTTTTTCTTTTCTCATGCTGCATTCATTTCATACGTAAATAGCTGGAAATATAAAACCTAACTTAATGACTAATATAAGTCCAAGTAAGTATTTATAGAATTATAGCATTCATATAAACATAATTTGTATCGACCATATGACGGGTCTATTTAATGTCATTTAGAGTCTATAGTTCTGTTTTGTTTGTATACAGGGTGTTTCATATATGTATGCACCCCCCTCTAAACTCATACATGTAGCATTGCCACCCTATCAAGTTATATATCATTTTGTTCTTCATGAAAAGTTAAAGAGGATTGGAAAGTGTCAGAATCTGGAGGTGTCCCTGAAAAAAGATACAATCCATCAAAATATGTGGGTAGGGGGTCATTTATAAGCAGTTTTGTAAGGATTTTTAAGCCAGTCCAGTGATCTGTTCACTTTGTCTGCTTCCCAATTTTAGTGATAAAGGTGGTTCAATGGTCCCTGACCTCCCTATAAGCCACTGCATGAATCCTGTCTATATATCTTTGTGCATAACTGCCACAGACATGTCGAATGAGCTCTGCCATGGTGACAATAGCTAGAAATGTGCAATACGGAAACTAAATTTGTCCTTGAAATTGTCCTAAAAATCACCAGAAATTGCCATCTAAATGACCCATACCCACAATGTTTGATACATTATATCTTTTGTCAGTGACACCCCTGGATTCTGAAACTTTCCAATCCTATGTAACATCCCATAAGGAACAAAATGATTGAAATGCTACATGTTTGAGTTTAGAGGGGGGTGCATACATATGAAATACCCTGTATTGTTGATACAGCTAGTCATCAGCTCCAGCACCCTCAGCAAGCAAGTTCCATACCTAACTGAGATTTTGAAAATGGGCATGCAATCACTTGAAAATCAATTTGCACTTTAAATTAGAGAAACATTTTGAATAACTGAAATGAGAATAATTTGCATGTGCTTGAGAAAAAATCATAGGGAGGACATGACTCAATATTAAAGAGGTTTCATAATCATGAATACTCAATAGTTAATAAATGTTGATTGATTTGCATCTTTCTCCAGGTAACAGTGGCGGTTTAATGATGCCCCCACCAGTTGTTCCTCCTAGAGGTCAGCACCCGCAGGTAGGTCCACTGGTCCAGTGCCATCTTTTATCTAAAATATTCACCGTCACAATTTGATGAAAAAATCACAGATGTTGTAGAGTGTAGTGTAGTGTGTAGTGAAGTCTAGTTGTCATTAGAGACATATTCTATTGTTGTATGATAGAAACTGCACATCTTGTAGCTATCTTTGGGTTTTGAAAAATGCTGATGAACAAGGTCCTGCCTTTAAGTTATCTCTGGTCCTGTTTATAGTATGCCATATTTCAATTAGATTTGAATAAAGTTGCCAAGTTTAAAGTATGTCACTGTATCAGCTTCACACTGAAACGTTTGCCAGTGTCAGGACTTACTTATTCATTGATTCTAATTTAACTAATTCCAGCCAATTTAATTTTGTTATTCGTAGTGCATTGAGTTGGGGAGACAACTGGAGTTGACATGATTAAACATTGAGCCTAGAGTCATTGAAAATACATGTTTTTGATGTCTCTAATGTATTTTTTAAAACAAGTGAATGAAAAAATTGCATGAATTCACATCCAAATCAGTTTTTTAATTACATTAATTATGAAAAAGATATATCAGATTGTATTGTTGCTATATTCCTAAAATGAACCGCTCCTTTTCTCCTAATTCAACTTTTCAACTGAAATATTTTCCTCTCAAACATCTAAATTAGTTGCAATTATATTCGGTGTAGTGGCTTAAAAAGACTTTAGTAAGTTGCTATTATTGACAATGGAGTCAGGCAAATATTTACTTTACCACAGGTTTTGACCATATTTGGCATTTTAAAACACGACCAGTGCGATATCTTAATTCATAAATGGAATCTTCTGCGCTATTCTTTATCATTGTTATGTTCTCTCCTCTGTCGACTTTTAGGTTACTCGTAGAAAGCTATTGACTCGTGCAAGTGACCCCGCAATAAGTGTAGTGCAAAACAAGTCCAAAAACTATGAGAACTTTGCTAATTTTGCTAAATTTGAGTCCATTCCATCCCAAGAAGGGTTAAATGTTGATTCTGACAATGGAGGTTCTGATACAACAGAGCGACACAGGAGGTCATATTCCCTAGATTATAATCGCCTGGTGAGTAGAGGACTGCATTGCATGCTGGGATGTCTGACACCACTGTGCATGCTGGGATTTCCTGATGTTGCATGATGGGATGGAATGGAATACAGTACTAAGGCTAACTACTTTCAGACTTTCATAACATTCTACATAATAACTGAAGATATATCTTGTTTTGTCTTCTCATAAGAAATGTAATTGCATGAAATCTACAATTTATTACAGGATTAGAATATATCCACATTATATTGGCTTTTAAGTGGATACAACAAAGTAACTTCTCCCTTTTAATGTATACAATTCTGAAACGTGGTCTTTGGTGGTATTCTACTTCACTTCTAATTTCACTTCTACCTGTTTCATAAGTTGTATGTTACTGTATTTGTTTCGTTATACTGTAATGGACATATTGCTGTATGAAGTAACCCTTTTGTTAACTCAAGCTTGTGTTTTTGATATTTTTGATATTTCTGATGTTTGCATCAGTTTTTTGACTGCAGTGGATTTTTAGATTTATCAGTCTTTTTTGTTAGCCATTTTCATAACTCCTTAGCCTTGTCATTCCGCAAGGACCTTGACATTTTACCCCAATCAAGTAAAGCAAATTTGGTTTTGGTCCTGATAGATCGCATTAACATTCTTTGACATGTATGGAGTTCTAGAGGTTTGATGCTTTTGTGACCATTGTTGTATTAACAGTTGGCATTCGACCAGCAATTATCGATGATTTGTATCTTTTAAGCACATTTAACAAATGAGATGCACATTTTAAACATAAGAGTACCACTTATTGAATGCAAAACTACCACTTATTAAATGCAAAACTACCACACTTGTTTAATACAAGACTACCATTTATTAATGTAAGACTACCACATTTATCTAATGCAAGACTACCACTAATTTAATGTATGACTATCAGCAGTTGAATGCAAGACTACCACTCATTAAACAAAAAAACATCACTTATTGAATGCAAGACTACCACTTATTAAATGCAAAACTACCACACTTGTTTAATACAAGACTATAAGTAACTAAACGCAAGACTACCACTAATTTAATGCAAGACTATCAGCAACTAAATGCAAGACTACCACTCATTAAACAAAAAACTTACTTATTGAATGCAAGACTACCATTTATTAATGCAAGACTACCACTTATTAATTGCAAAAGGAGCACCTTTTATTTTATGTAAGACTACAACTTGTTCCAAGGTACCACATGATCTCAATGCATTTAACAGATCAAGCAAACAAGCATTTCTTTGATTTAGTTTCTCAAAAACCTATTAATATTTTGATCTGATCCCACTAAATGTGAGAGAAATAAATCTTTTATTTATAAAATATATAATATTGTAAAACATTTTCCAAATGCTGAGAGAGAGTAAATTTTGAGCCCAAGTTTGATCATGAGACTGTGAGTGACAACATTTTTTACAAATTATAAGTCATAACACTGTTTGAAATTGTAGTTATGTTTTGCATTACTAATTGTTTGTTGATTTTTATTTCTAGGGTGGCTATGGAGCTGACTCAGGTAAGAGGAAATTTTAAATATTTTGTCTATTTTAAATATGGCTTCTTGCATAATTTTAAATAAAATACAACTTCAATTTGCAAATTATCAATTTATTTATCTATCTATCATCTTTCGGCAATTACCCAGATGCGAGTAGGTAGTTACCAGTTTCGCCACCACATGGCTGATTCGGGGGAAATAACATGGCAGGGTATTACAAAATTCTCTTAAACTTGAATATTCATCAATTTTAGTGGTTCGCTTTTCATATTACCCTTATGTATCTGATAGTTATACAAATCAAAATATGTCCAGTAAAAGAATTAAATATTATCACTTTTTGTGACTTTACAACATGGGGTCTATGGGGAATCTCCCCGACCTAGAAGTCAGATTTTCAAAGAAAATTAAATTTTCAAAGAAAATTAAATTTTCAAAGTTGATAAACTCTTTTCAAAACAACATTTCTAGAACTAATTTTACGTGTAGATTCCAAATAGGACATCAGTTTGACTGAATTTAGATTTTTAATATCGTACATCAAGATCATTTCTACTCGCATCTAGTCTATTGCATTTGAATTTTATGAATCGCAAACTTTTATCTTTATACATATTTCTTTAACTTCAATACATGATGAAAATTCAAAACATTATAATAAAAAGATGTGTACCAGATATAGAACAGTTTTTGGCTCAATCGTGAAATTGTTACCCTAAGTATGAATGCCATTTAATGCTTTACGGTTTCTCAAGGATGTTCAATCTCAAGTTCTTAATTGATTATTTGGATACAAAGTTCTTTTGCCCATATAAGGATTTTAGACCTGCTGGTCAGAACCGAGTTTTGGATAATTGCTTATCTTTGCTTGCTCAGATTCTAGTAAACTTGAAGTTTGAATGAAGTAAGACCCTGAGCAAGTGAAGATCTACTTTTTCCAAGACATGTTGGATCTGGGTTGTTAGTTTTGTGACATCCTGTTTGTACATGTATTTCTGCTTTACAGAGTTCAGCACGGCAGTATTATCCAGTGAGCGATCAGTCTCACCAACAGGAGGAGCTACAGAACCAGGCATTGATGATTTTGATAGGAAAGTTAATAGGTATCCATTTACTTCTTGTTATTGTCTCTTTTTACATCTAATTTCCAGGATAACAATTTCCATACAATGATATGTGGTTTACAATGATATCTCTGGTTAATAATCACTTCTTTTTGTGTGAACATGGAGAACCATTTGATCAAATTCATTATTGTGAAAATAATCAAAATATTGTTGTGTATGATTTATATTTAATGACATTTCTGTATAATTTGAAGTGTTTACTAATACTAAGTGTTCATTTTATTCCTTGGTAACTAGTTATTGCATTACTTCTCTTTCTAAAATTCTACCCTCCGTGATATTGACCAATTTGGGATTTCTAATTTAGAATTAAGTTTGATTGTCGCGTGGCACCCAGTTATGACAACACCGGATTAATATGTTTCAAACATATAATTTCGTACTTCACATCCATGTATTATTGTGTACAAATATATTGATCAAAATCTGTATTTTTCAGACATATTACAAATAAAGATAAAAAAGAGATACAAATGTTGGTGAGAAAACAGAAGGAGAAAAATACAATGTTATATAGACTGAATGGTGAACTGAACCAAGAATTACAAGAAGTAATGGAACAGAGGATCGCTTTAGAAATACAAATGGAACATTTGAGACCTTTCTCCAGTTGAAACTTGCCAAAATTCCCCAGTTCTATGAACAGCTGAAGTACAGTGGAACCTGTATCTAAGGAACACTTCTGCTTGTGTTTGGGCCACAGTTAGATGACAGTAACTGCAGTTATTGTAATCACAATGGCAGACAAAAAATATTTTCAAAGCAGTTCTTTACAATTTTGAGTATGAGTTTGATTGATGGTGCTCAATATCGAATGTAGCTCGTCTGTAAATGAATTTTTTCAAGTAGCCTATTGAAAGAATTTTGACAGACATTTGTGATTCAATTAACTGCTATTATGGTCAACAAACTGCGGCACAGTGTTTTATAGTGTATTCTATATAAGAGTGTCCTCTAGAAGAGGTTTTATTGTACATCATCTCCATACCAGTGCAGTTAGCTTGTTGCGATCCATGTTGGTTTAAGATGTATACTTATTACACTCTAAATACCATCAACTTGGTGACCAGCCATTCTTTCACATTGTCTTAGAATGGCCATTTTTCTTGGGACTTTGTAGTCTTCAATAATCCAGTTCTTAAGTATGTATTTGGTGGCTGGGTTGAATTGTCAGTGTTTTGTGAAAATAATATGCTAGATGATGAGTGTAACATTATTGTACATTTTTTTCAATTGAAATTATTTTCACATTAAAATCAAATATTGATATTTGCCAAGCATTCTCCTTTCTATTTATGTCATTATGCCAAGAAATACATGTACTGTATGTGAACCTTTTTTGCGTCCATTGTCATACCCGCCAACCCTGGCAAAATATTTCATGGTGGCCTGAATGTATTTCAGTTGATCATTCTTGAAGCGAAATATACTCTCCAGGAAATATACTATCATGACTCGTTAAGTTTTTAGATGCTTTGATGTATTGTTTATTTTCCTTATTATAACTGTAAAGAATGAATTTTTGTATACTTGAAACAAGAAATGAACATTACACTGGTATATGAATCATTTATGTCCTGTATACATGCTGGGTTATAGCAGCCATTTACCTGTGTTTAAAACCTTGATGGCATGAAATATTCATGCTACTTGTCAGTTAAGATGTCAGACAATTCAAAAACAGAGAAAGCAAATTGTTTCATTGACTCCCTTCTAATCAAATGATTTAGATCTTTATGTAGGTGTTGAGTTAAATAGTTGTATGTACAGGGTGAGCCAAAAAGGTATCTCAAACAAATGTTAATAACTCTGTCATCCAATGTGGGTTTAGAGTCATAAGTGGCACAATTTAACCTTGTTCAATGTTCTTTCATTTTACTGAGTTTCATTGGTCTTTCCCCAAATGGTTGCCATTTTATGGCCATTTTATAAAACACTCTTCAAATGCGGAAAGATTCCAAAATCAGCCAGTCAGAATTTTATCTGTTGGGCTAATTCAAGATAATGTGTACATTAACAACTCTGTATTGAAGGAAAACTAAACTAGATATCTATACTATGAGCCTGTAGTCAAAACAACTTTACCTGATGCATTCAAGTTTACCTCCAGAGGCGACACCAGCATTTTGGGCATGTTTTGTAAAGTGGCCATAAAACCATGACCATTTTGCATAGACCAATGAAACTTAAGAGAATTAAAGATCATTGAACAAGGTTTAATTGTTCCAAATACTCAAACCCATGCTGAATGACTGACTTATTGGCTCGTGCTGAGGCAAGAGCCATATCTCACTTGGGTTTAGTAGTAAGTGTTAACGACAATGGACTGAGGTTTAAACGTTAGTTTACTAGTAGAAAACCTGATGGGTTAATATTTATTGATGAAAATGAGTTAATTCCTCGAGCAAAAGTTTAACCCTAAGGTGTTAGTTTATAATAAAATTGCGTTGGAGAGGGTTTCAAACGACATATAAGCAATTTTACAACAACACCATGAACACTGTGCACTGATTCTCGGCAACATGATTTCCTAAATACGACAGAAATACGAGCGACTTCTTGATTTAGAATTGTGAACAATTTACAGCATTAAAAAAACTCCGAAGGTTTAACTATTTTATTAATATCTTCGGAGAACGAGAATCAAATTGACCCATCTTCACTTTTTGATATGTTTGGATGTTTTCTAAGAGGTCCAGGTACTCAGACCTTCACAATTTTAAGATCTTAATCAGTTCAAAATGTTCGGATTTTTAGATACTTTTGCCGTTCGGTAAATTACAACCGCGAATAAAAGGAAGCATCCCTATTTATCAATACAATTCATTGCAACACTGCAAACATCTCCTTCACACGAGCCTTCATTTTTTTTAATGATCTCTTGTTAACATTTGTTTGGGTTACCTTTTTGGCCCACCCTGTTCATTCTGTTATTGCCAATTCAGAGTTATCCAAATATACATGATTACTTTTTTGACCCATGAGTGTAAGAGAAATATATAGTAAAACCTGTAAAATGGAACATCTTTGTAACACTTCTATAGAGAAAAACTCTTCAATGTTTAAAGGTAGTATCAGATCTAGTTAGTTGCACTGGTACTAGCAAGCAACCTTGACAAAAATTGTTTCCATTTTAGAATATATTGGGGTCTTATTCCTTGTCATGTCTTTTTCCTAAAATTGTCATGTCTATTTCCATCATCTTTTACATAAGATAACCATGGTACATTTAGAGTTTTACTACTCTTATTTTAGGTATTTTATTTTGAAATTGTTGAATTGAAAGGTATTTTTGTTGCTCTTTGAATATTGTGAATCTTGAAAATAATTTAGTTAATTCCGTACAGTTTAAACCGTATATCCAAAAACACTCAACGTGAACATTTTTTCTTGGTCTAAATTATGTTTCTCCCCCCTTTGACTCCTTGAAATATGCAAACTTGCTGATCTGAACTCTGGCTTGTCCCAGTGGAGTTCAGTTTCGACACTCCTGGCCACCTTGTTTTTTTGCTGGACTTCGTATATTGATCAATCCTTGTCAAACTAATTAAGATTGAAGATTGCATATCTTATGTGGCATTGCATATAATATGTATTGCCGTAAGTATTATTGAACATAAATAAATGAAACTCATATAAATAAATGTGTTTTGTAATTCACATGGTCTTTTCTGCTTAGTGTATGGGTTGGGTTAAAAACGCCGCGAGTTGTTTGTAGAATGAATCGGGGGAGTTTTTTCATGCATTTTGCTAATGTTTTTCATCTAAAATCATCATTACACTTTACATTTTATTGACTATAAGATTGCACCATATAATCCCCAAAAAGATATTTCTAGTTTTCGAGGATTTTCTTTGGATTAACACCCAGGTATTTTCATTCAAACTTCAGAGGGCTGGAAATCATTGATAATCAACGCTAATCAATCCCCAAAAAAATATTTCTAGTTTTCGAGGATTTTCTTTGAATTAACACCCAGGTATTTTCATTCAAACTTCAGAGGGCTGGAAATAATTGATAATCAACGCTTTTGAATAATATAAAAGCTGTTTTCAGTAGATTTCATGTATGCCAATAATTTCTCAAATTATTTAATGCTGACACCTTCTTTAATCCCTTGGATTTTCTCTTAGAGGAATTTCCTATAGTAATTCCAATCTTATAGTAGTAGTTCCAAGCAGATTTTGAGATAACAGAAAAGTAAAGTAAAATCAGAGTTTTATGTTGTCAATTGGAGTGTACATTGTCTATTTAAGGCCAGGGTGCATGTTCGGAATTTTGCTGCAACCCGCAATAGGGGCACATGTTATTTTTCAAATTTGAATCACTCCTTCCCCACAATGTCTACATCTCTCACTTTTGCACAACGAGTGCACTAATGTACCTAGAAAAGAATGTAGAGATGAATGTTTTGATAAAATGTATAAAAAAATTCTGAATTTTTTCACTGAATTTTCTCGTTTTTATACATTTTACAAAACAAATCTTCTCACTAGTCTTTTCTAGGCACATACGTGCACTCTTTTTGCAAAACTGAAAGATTAAGACAGTGTGGGGAAGGAGTGTTTCCTGTTTGAAAAATAGCAGAATAAACTCAATTGAGGAATGCAGCATAATTCCGAACATGCACCCTGACCTTAGATGAAATTTATGAGATGTAATATTAAACAATGCTATAATTTTATTTCAAAATACATAAGGGGGATTGATGACTATCAAGTGTTGTTCAAATAATGTGTTCAAGTTTCTCTAGTACAAATGGTGTTAAAAATAAGGTAAATACCTTTACCTCTGGTTTGAATGCTATGGCGGTGTGGTGATTAGTATGTGGCGGTGCACCGTTAATGCTATATCTGATCTGGAAAGTTCAGAACTAGATCTAGGTTTATTCGAGATAAAATAACACTGTAATTGTTCAAGCCATTTCATTTAAATAGACAACGTACACTCGAGAAGACAACGTACAATTCTGTTTTTTATTATAACCAAAACGTGATTAGGGGACTCATTTGTAACAGCTTGTAAAGATATTTTGCTAGGGTTTCTGTCCGCTGAACCCATGTTTATTGAAACAAAGAACATTGGTTCTCTGAGATACAATGGTATTGATTTTGAAATAAATATTTGAATTGATAATATGCCCCTCACTTTTTAAAAAATGATTTTGTGTGGTCATGGGCCAAGACGGGCCCCCGTGAGGCAAGGAGGACTGTTCTATCAGAAACCTTCTTTGAATTGTAGATTTTACCAAAGTCTTACAGAAGTGGGGCAAAAAGGCCACTTTTTGGGGAAGGTGGCGCCGATTGAATCTGGCGCCTAAATGAAACAAAATGAACGGCGAGTGAGGTCGGTGCCATGATGATCCCATGTCAGAATAATATCAGGCGATATATACTTTAAAACAATAAAATAAACTTGGTGGTCCGTCTTGCCCCACGGCCCTTCTTACCCCGCTTACCATTATAAATGTAAACAACTTACCAACATATTCCTGGAATAAACCTTAAAAGTCGCAACAAAATAGCATTCAGTTGATAAGTAGAGCTCATTTATCAATTTGAATGCATTTTGAAGGTATAAAACATTACTTTGGGTCTAAGTGATTGGTTATATTGTGAGAACTCTATTATTGCGCACCACAATCAATTTTCTATCATTTTCTGCATCATGGGTATGATGCAAATGGCATGCAATTCACATCTCTGGTTTCAATGCCACGCGTTTGATTTTATAAAAATCCCAAACTTGGTGACGAAAGAGTTTTCTCCTGCTTGCACCGAGAAAATGGATCGGTTCGGAACAATTGCATCAACACTATTAGGAACTCATTAGGAACATTTTTTTATTACAAGGATCTAAACATTCCAATCTTCTTTTAAGATCCTTTCCGATAATTTGGATACTGCTCCACATAGCTTTACATGATTTGAAGACAGTGTTTGAAAACTCGATTTAGGTTCATGGAAATGCTACTCATTTGGACATTCACTCTAAATAATTTGAATGGGTATGGATAATGTACTTAAAAACAAAAAATCAATATGCAGTACAGCAGACAACCGAAAAACATCAAATCAATTGTAACCAAATCGCAATTCGTCTAACCTTGACATTGACCATATTCAACAAAACGTTAAAAATGCGGGGATAAACGATGTTTATGTTGTTTTCATTTGTATGAAGAGGGGAATTGCCCCTACAAGGACAAAATAATTGCCCCTAAAAGAATGGTTAGTTGCAGTTCCAGTAATCTTTTATAATATGTTCTTATACTGTTATATGTGCCGGATGTGGCGAACTCTACCTTGGTCAAACAGGGGATGTATTGATCCGTGTACACATACAACAGATTAGGGATGAATCTGTACGAATGTTACCTGTGAGTGATCACATCGCAAAGTGTGCATAAATTTAAAGAAAAGACAAAATTCGAAGTATTACCGTTTTTTACATTCAAAACGGACAATGTTTCTTTGAGAATATTATATGAAGAACACTTCATAAAAATATTTAAACCCAAATTGAAATAAATAAAAGTTAACCAAAACAACAAGGTAAATATATAATTGATTAGTGACATTGGTTGTGTGTAGGTCCAGGAAAGAAGTTTTCACCTCTTTGGACCCAACAAAACTCTTCTAAAATGTGTTCAAATTGTTGATCAAATTATTACTTTTCAGATGATAATGCAAGTGTTCTAGCAACAATTGATTCATTAAAAGTGCGACTGAAATCCTAGGACTTGAAATGCATTTAATTTGACAGGGTGTTGCATATGTATGCACCCCCTCTAAACTCATACATGTAGCATTGATAACATGTTATACATCATTTTGTTTCTTATGGAAAGTTATATATATAATCTTTTATTGACTCTCTGATGTCATTACAATGACATATTAGTCA